AAGAAGCGAGACAGACAGACGCAGGGGATAGAACTCTGGGAACTTGGGCTGGAGTAAAGTTAAATTAATAAATGTGCAGGTCTTGGACTGTATTCAGGTGCATGAGGTGTCTTCAAATGATGAAAAAGATAGTGGTTGAGGAGGCTCTGGCCTACAGATTCTTCGGCAGTGTTTTGAAAAATGCCACAGCTTTGGTAAAGAACTTGGTATGAGTGTATGCTAGTGGGATATAGAGGAGCTGGATTCGGAATGATGGGTTGATCAGATGGTGGAGAATTTGGGTGTCTGTGTAAGGTGGAGTGCACTGGGATTCCCATGGTTTGGTTGAGAAGTTTAACCTGAGTCGGTAGAGGTCTTTAGAGGTTAAGCTCACCCTTCTTGTGGCACTTGAGCAGAAGCAGTGTGTTGCTATTAAGGTTTGTAAAATGAGAGGAAAGATGGAGCAGATTAAACAGTTTGGTTCAATAGCTTTACAAGACGTTGTGTGCTGCTTATTGGACATCCAGGTCTAAACCCCTGGTGAGTAAGCTGAGGGGAACAGTCACAAGGATAAACTGATAGGGGCACGAGGAAGAAAACTTGAGAAGAACCAAGACTCAACAGGGGATCCCATCCTTCTCTGGTTGATATCAGATTGTAAAGATTGTGATAAACATGGCAGAGTGTTAGATATAAGAGCATGGCAGGTAAAATGTGTTTAAGGCAGATTGTATCTTCCTGAATGGAAAGATCATAGAGCAGGGATTGCTGTTAGAAGGTAGTGGCTGGGAGTTGGTGATGGGTGTGATGATAGGTGGAGGAAGCTGAATGACACTCTGGTTAGTGCAGAAAGTAGGCATCAGAGGTTGGTAGCAGAATAGTTGTTCAGTTATAACAGCTGGTGAGGATCCCTTGCTTGAAATTCAAGACTCCAAAAAAAGGCCATTGATGGTGAATGGATGCTACTCCCAAGGACTGAGGAATGAAGAGGATGAGAGAGTGAAGTCAACATAGAAGTCAGCAGAAGATTACTAGGAGAGCAGCACGTTTGCAGAGGCACAGACAGCATCATCACAAAACAAATCAAATGTTAGTCCAGTCTAAGGAGGGGGCATACTGAAGGCCTAAAAGACAGGCATCATCATCCAGCAAATTGCTGGCTCCAGATGGAGCACAACTGAAGATTGTATTGAAGATGTTGCTCATGGGGGAGAGACGGAGCCAGCAAAAGGGTAGACCATCCGGGGGCTGGTATAGATGAAATGAGACTGGGGTGAGAGATGGAGGAGAGCCTCTGTGGTAAAATATGAAAAGTGTGGCTGATGGGGTTAAAGTTTAGAGTATAGGGTAGTTGTAAGATGAATAGTGAAAGGGGAGCTAGCTCTGACAATCATGAAGTCCAGTGAAGTAGGGGGGCCCATCCCCTGCTGCAGCATTGCAAGTGGCCACATCCATGGGGTCAGTTGTAGGTTGACAAAGAAAGGGCTAGAGGAGACTCAAGAGGTAGAATGAGAAGGTAGAGGTAGCAGGATGAGCTGTATGAGAAGATAACAATGCGGTTCCAGATTCAGGTAGCACCAGTAGGAGTGGGCAGATGCATTTGGTAGATGAAGGTAGGGCTAAATGATTTTTTTCTATGATGAGCACTGTTTGGCCAAGGCAACCATCATATCCACTTTTATTAGCTTGAGATTTGAACAATAAACATAGTGTGCCAGACTGCCTGTCAGTTGTGCCAGGGGTTGTGTGGTTTACAGCGCATAGGTGTGGTTGCTTCTGAGTAGCGCAACTCTTCTTTGAGCCCTAGTTTTGTACCTAGTGCAACGCCAAGGGCTGAGAATGCATGGTGATCAGTGCTGTCTGGAAAGGAAAGTTGGGTCCCATGATGTCCTATAAATGGGAGAGAAGGCTCGGTAAGCTGCAGAACGATAGACACATGATTTCAGGCGTTTCAGAAAGAGGGTCAGGGCATGAAGAAGAAATGTGAGTGCTTGCCTGGAAAATCTGCAGGCAGCTGAAAGATACATGAGGTGTTTGGCCTTGGTGGGCGGAATTCTAAGGGGGAGGGTGGTGGTGAAAACTGGACAAAGAGTTAAGGAGCTGGTGAAGGGAAGAGGGGGATGAAGTTCAAGCTTGGGACAGCAGGGTGGAGGAAGATTAGCACTGATGGTGCAGGAAGTGACTTGGAGGATGCCTGGGGCAGGCAAGAAGTAATAGCGGAGGCATGGGATATAAAGCGTTGGAAATGGAACAGTGGGGGTGATGGAGATGGTGGGATTGGGTTGGTGGCATCAGATGAGGTAGATGGATACCTGGAATGAGGTTGTAGAATGGAGAAGAGGGGAATGAGGAGTGGGATGTAGAGAGAGATGATTAAGGGGGTGAGGGGAGAGGGAGCCATGGGATGGGAGACGAAAGGGGGACAGGACAAAAGGAGAGAGAAAGAGAGAGTGGGATGTAGAGAGAAGATGAAGTGGGGACAAGTAGAGGATGAAAAGGGGTGGGATGAAAAGAGTGCAGGTGGAAAAAAGAACAAATAAAAAAGTGAGGGGGTTGATTATAGGAAAGAACATCAGGAGGTTAAGTGGTAATGCAATATGATAATCACTAAACTATGTGGTACATATGAAACAGATCTGTAGAATAAAACATAGCGTGTTACAGCATACAACACAAGGCATAAGAAGGCAATGCATCCCACTAAGTAAAGGCAAGGCATTTACAGACTGGAATTTCAGCTATGTGCTAGGGAGGAAGGTGGAGGATAAACATTTAGGCAAACAGGGAAAACAATAGGAAAGAAGGGAAAATGAATGTGGGCATGCAGGAAGAATCAGACAACAGAAAGAGTGCAGCTATGGCAGCTTGGGTCACTGCATGGATTGACTGTTGATGTGGTGATGTGATCATGTAGAATGTCATTACATATGGCATGGGTCAATGCAGTGGCGTCATCACATGGTTTGTGTCCCGGTGTGACCTTAGAGCTGTTGAGCAATGGTGGCAGAGGGCAGGCCTTGTTTACCTCAGGTGGATCTAGGACAAGGTGGTATAATTCAGTTTGGGTGAAGTGATTCATCCTCCAGAGCGCACTGGTGCTTGGTACTAGGGCTGGAGCGGAGCCAAACAAGGCATGTGAGCTGCTGTCACTTGAAAGCACAACCGCTGTGTCGGGAGCACGGAGTCTGGGCAGAGACAGCATGCATGGCCAGAGAAGTTGGCTGGGTGGGTGGATCCTATCAAGGGAGCACTAGCCAGGGCAGCAGGAACAATGAAAAAGGTTCTCTGGATGTTATATGGACTATGTTGGCAGGAGCAAACAGATGGCTGGCAGAGGAGACAAGTTAAGGACTGTGTCAGTTGCTCATAGCGGTACTGGCATTTCACTGCTGAGTGTGAAAACTTTGTGCGTTAGATCGGAAGGAGGAAGGGCTTCAAGTCCTCCCCCTGTATTTCAGTTATTCCATAACTCAGTTTCAAAAAGCTACTGAAGAAACAAATTTGAATATTTGAAAATGAAGTCATAACTGGTCAAAAATCTGAATTGAATTCTGAACTGTTGCTGTGCTGTGTTTTGTAGGCAGGAGATATTCTCTTTCAGAATTCACTGCTAGCAGTAGAGCGAGAGAGACACCCAGTGACTGGATGGCTGTGGCAGCAATGGGAACTCCCGGTTTCCTGACAAGAGGGCCAATGCATGGGCGGTTGCATTCCTCAGCAGCCTACATTTTTTTATTTATTTATATATTATTGTTAACAAATTACTTCAAAGAAGAACTTCCAGTGTCTTTTTATATTAGATCACACTGTCAATATTGTCAAAATGAAGATTTTCAGACTAATCAAATAATCTACTCTAACAACAAGAAGCAGACCTACAGTTCTGCTCATGTCTTTACATACCACAGCAGAATTTGTAAGATGTGTACCAATCTTTAAATAAAGCATAAATGATCAGGCAAAATATATGTATTTTATTTTAATGGTATCGAATTTCAGCGATAGGGAAGCTTCCAGGCTGGTGAATGCAAATTGTCCACCAGTATTTTCTGATGACATGCTGCATTCATCTTGCCATCAATTTTGACTAAACTTCCTATGCCGCTGTAGCTTACACACAGAAAAACATCAGAGACCCACCTCCATGCCTCACAGTAGGGATGGTGTACTTTTCGTCATAGGCTTTGTTGGCTCCTCTCCAAACATATTGTTTATTGTTGCGACCATTAAGTTAAATTTTGGTCTCATCACTCCAAGTGACTTTGTTCCATAAGTTTTGAGGTTTGTCTGGATAGTGACTGGTTTTTTGAAAGCAGGCTGATTTGTGGTATTAGCACAGTAACAGATTTTTTCTGGTGACAACAGTGCAGCCGACTATTTGTCCCTCTTTTTTGTGCATCTTAAAATAGCCACACCACTTTTTTGTAGTAAAGCCTGTATTTTAAGCTTGTGAGTTTTTCTTTGTTTTCTGGCTAATTTTCCTGGCAGTTGTGGCTATATATATATATACATATATACATATAAATATAGATATAGATATATATAGATATTTATTTTTTCTTATATATTTTTGTATTTAAGGACAACGTTGGGGGGGGGAGCACCTATGATTTTGACTTACCTTTGCACCTCTGTAAATGTGATGTGACAAAAAATGCGATTGACTGTGTTTGACTGTGTTTTGGTATCAATAGAACCCCTAATTTTCCACTTCTTTATCACAGTTTGAACACTAATGATTAGCATTTTCAATTTTGTGGATATCTTCCTATATCCTTTTCCTGATTTAGTTCAACTTTTTTCTTGCAGGTCATTTAGTAGTTCTTTTGCTTTCCACGTGGCTCAGTGTCCAGCCAAGTCAGTGCAGTCCTGGATAAAATGTGCTGTTGTCTCTCAAAAGCTGAGAAACTCATTGACTATTTATACACAGACACTAGTTACAATCAAACAAATTACAGGTGTGAAAACTTACCCTTAATAACTTTAAATCTTAGTAACTATTTAAATTAAACACAGGGATGTAAATGGAATGTAAATTTCATTCATATTTCAAGATTATTCATATTAAAGAACTGGCCAATATTTGACAAACATTCAGGGTATGTAAACCTCTAAGCAGAACTATAACAAGCATAACAGGCAGTATAAACCTTAAATCGCTAGCAATGTAGCAAATGCTTAAATACAATTTTGAAAAGAATATTTGTGATTTATACATAAAAAATAACAGACATGTACACTGCATAAAAACAACAAAAGAATTACATAACTATTATTAAAAACAGCGTACATTTTAATAATAATATTATACCGTATAAGACCTCTGTTAGGTATAACGGATAAAAAGACAAACTATTGTGCTTATTAATTTGGTACAAAATCACGTACATTAATCCCAGGTTGGTCCTAATATAATCAAGAGCTGTATAATGAGCTCTTAGTTGTGTCTGAGCAAATGGAGTCCTCTACATCTAGTACTGAACATTTACATGTAAAGCCATATCATGTGTATGTGATTCAGTGAGTGGTCTCTCTGCTGTGGCAGACTGTATCGAAGGGGAACGGAGAGCGGATCACACCCACGATGCCTTCCATGTTGTACGGTGGAGCTCCAGGAGGCCATGAGAACTTCAGCCGCTGGAGCAGAGAGGTGAAGAAGATGAAGAGCTCAGTTCTTGCTAGAGTCTCACCCAGACACACCCTTGGACCTGCAGCACACACACACAAATTCCAAATCTCAGTAATAGAGTGGATAATCGGGAAAGTGGGCTGGAAACATTTTGGGCTGACTACTGTGGGTTAACATCAGGGCTCTATGATATTGTCCCAGGTGCAAGGAGACATTAATACCATGCAAATATAAGAAAGATCAGGGTCATACGTATGCAAATGTACTTTGTATAGTTTGCATATATCCTTTTAAATATTTTGTCAAATCTAGACTCACACAGCTCGGCAGGCCTCTAATGGGCTAACGGGAGAATCCAGTATTATAAGAGTAGAAGTTGAAATATTTACTAAATGATTCAATGTAAAAACGGAATATAATTTCCTCGTGAGGAATCTGAATGAATGTGGAGAAAATAAACTCTGTATTTCACTAAATGAACATTACCATTCAAATCTTTTATATGCTGCTTCTGTTTTTTCACAGTTAAACAAATTGTTCCACTAATTGGGATTCATAACTTTTAAAGGGTACAACTTTTCTAGCACTAGGGCTACATGCTTAAAATGTTTACATACAGCCCTGGCTAAAGTCTATATTTGTAGTAATTTAGCAGTTAAATCAGGGTTTTCTTCTACAGCCTTGTTTACTGATTGTAATCGGTCAGTAAATGGGTTGTGTAGAGTGGGTAAAGATTAGCCAAAGATTCAGCATGAAGGTATAAGTCTGGGGCTGGCTGACACAACAGGCAGGGTCTTACCAAACATTTCCTTTGCAAGTGGTGCTGAGAAGGCAAGAATAATAACACTTCTGGAGAATGCAGTGAAATAATCCAAAATAGTGGATATATCTAGCAGGTGGGCAGTAAGCGATGTTGACAGGGATTTCATTATGCCATGTTTATCACATTTAAGATAAAAAAACTATTTTTATCACTAGCTTTACAGCACATAAACAAGAGCAGAAAATGAAGATGAAATGCTCAGATTTTAGAAAAAGCTGTTAGCGAACCTAATTTGAACACAATGGTATCTTAGCCTTTCTCTGCTACATTAGCTGTTAGATGGAAAAAGTAGCTATTAGCAATTTCAGAAATTATAGAAAGTGACTGCATTTGTGTGTTTGCTCACCCAAAGAAAAGGGCAGAAAGTAGTCGTTTTTGCAGAACTGTCCCTTCTCATCCAGAAAGTTCTCTGGGTTGAACGTGTTCGGGTACTTCCAATGCTCTTTGTCAGTCATGATGGCTGTTAAGTTGGGCCAAACATCTGTTCCCTGCCATGACAAAAAGAAATAACTTGATAACAAATGTAAAAGTCAATCAAATAGAGTTTTCACTTTTGTATTTTTAGTCATAATAAAAAAAGGAAAAAAACAGATACACTGCCATACAATTTGTTAAATTTGGAACACAGAGAGGCACGCTACAAGTTGTGGGATGATCTTCATTTAGGCTGAATAACCTGAATCCTCATTACTGTGGTATTAATTTATTAAATTATGTTTTTTAAGCCACAAAAACTTTAGCCTAAATTAACTTTCATTGTACTCTGCAGTGTTATTCGATCGGTACCCTAAAGGTATTGTATTTTGATAACCAACTCAGATAATGAAACATAAATATCTATGAATGAAACAACTCAGATAATGAAACATAATATATTTTTAAGAGTGATTTTGTGAAGGTTTTTGGCCACTCCCCCTCTATCCCTCCATCATTACCGCGGGCAGGTGGTATCCTCGTAGCTCTGTTGGTTCTGTGGTTACATGCACCACGCCGAGAGGAATGATGTTAGCATAGCGCTGGATCTCATAAACAGTGGCACAAGTGTACGGGAGCCGTGCGCGGTCATCCATGCAGGGAGAGCGGTCAAAACCCAGAACCCGAATGATCTCTTCATGACAGCGCTCTGACGTGGTCAACCAGGCATATGAGGAAGTTTTGGGAAAAACAGGGAATACAAATAAAGAGATGATGTTACAGAAAATACAGCAATAATAACGTGTTCTAAATTGGCCATCAATCATTTCGATCATAGAACAACAAAAGGAACTGGTGGACAAATGAAATCAGGTCAAGGGTATTGGTGACCTACAGCAGTACCTTGCACGTCGGGGTGGTTCATCATGTAAATGATGCCCCATCTGAGAGTATTTGCTGTAGTTTCTGTCCCAGCAGAGAACAGGTCAGTGGTCGACCTTATCATGTTCTCCACATGGAATGTAGAGTCTTCTTTTGACTCTTGCTGTTCAAAATGAGAAAAGACTTAATTCTGTAACACACTACCTACAAAAGGATAGTGAAGGCTGCTTAAGCGATTGATTTTGTATAAACTGCAGTAGAAACTTCAAGTCCACTGTCTTCACATTCACAACTTGAAAATAAGCCCTCTAACACCAGGGATCCAGTGTCCCTCCACTCTGTCCACTGCTATCAAAACAAAGACCTTCTCCTGAAGCTTGGCCCTTTACCTTGGTCATCTCGTTTAGGTAGGCATCAATGAAGTCCCGGGGGTTGTCTGGGTCCAGAGTCTTCTTGTGCTCCTCCACAATTTCAAGGATAAATTCTCTTAAGGCATTAGTATTCTCCCGTATCTTCTGATGCGGCCCTGGAAAGTACTGTATAAATGGGACCAAATTGAAGATCTGCAGAAAAAAAAATATATCTCTCATTAGAATTTAGAATAACTTTGTTTACATCTCAACCATTGAATTCCTCTTTAAATTACTCTTTCTTGAGACAGAGACTTACACAGTCGAGTCACATTATTATGAACACTTCATGTGCACAAGCTAGTGGTGGCAGCATTATGGTCTGGGGAATGTTTTCGTGGCATTCTCTGGGCCCACTCATCCATGTGGAAGGTACTCTCAACTGATTTGGGTATGAATCCATCCTTGCAGATAACATAAACCCATACATGCTGATCGTCTTCCCTGGGGCGGATAGGATCTTCCAGCAAGACAATGCGACATGTCACACGGCTAGAAATGTCCAACATTGGTTGGAAGAGCATGAACAAGACTTCCAAACACTACCCTGGACCCCTAAATCCCCAGACTTGAACCCAATTGAACATCTGTGGGACCACCTTGATGGTTGTGTTCGCTTTATGGATCCTCCCCATGCACCCTCCAGCAGCTGTGGGATGCACTGCAGTCAGCATGGCTCCAGATACCTGTGACAACCTACCAGGACCTTACTGAGTTACTCCCAGCCCCCCTAGCTGCTGTCCACGCTGCACACGGGGGTTACTCTGGATATTATGGTCGTCATAATAATGTGACTTGACTGTGTAGTTCCTAGTTATACTGTTTTTTCTTAAATTTTTCATATTAGGAGTTGGTTGTCTGGACACAGGTTCCAAGACAAGAGATTTTTTTTAATCATTAATAAGTATAAAACATTAGAAATAATTTTAGCATAAGTATGAGCCGCAATGTTGCCCTAGAAAGACAAAACGCCTAGTATTCATTTAGGCCACAAATGATATTGTTTTGTACTCTGATGGTTTTTCTACATGCTTTTTGAAAATTAGTTAATGACATCACCAGGAAAGCTGGTAATTACCTGTCCCACAGCTGATCCAGAAAGCTGAATGTTTCTATTCAGAATATCCAGCAGCTTAGCAAAGCTCTTGTTGTCGTACTCAAAGCGGTCTCCAAAGATGATGGAGCAAATTATATTGGAAACTGCATTCATAAACAGGTGGATGGGATAAAAAGGCTTCCCTTAAAAAAAATGGCATGAAAAGATATTTGATGAGGAAGAACACAATGACAATTTGAAATATGTGATTTGTTTTTTATTTGTTTCTGTTAAATGTCATCACTATCAAATATGTATGCATCTATCAGACAAAAAATAGCCTCATGTCCTGCTATCAACAGAATTTTTTAAAAGATTCACAGGCACTGAACTACAACTCAAAAATTCAGTTCATTAACTTGTCCAGTTTGATTTGAGCAAATAGTACGTCAAACTCCAGCTAACATATATAACCCATGACAGACAATACAATGGGTCAATTCTCGCACTTCTCCCTGTCATTATAGTTGTATATCAGATAAGGATAACCTGACCAAAGAACTGCACTAAGAAGGCATAGACAGCTATTCATCACCTACCTTCTTGTTTGAGCATCTCCTTGACGAGGTAATGCGCCTCCTCGGCCACACGTTCCTCCACAGTTTTCTTCCCCAGACCAAAGTCACGCAGCGTGTGCAGAGCAAAGCGGCGCTGCTGCCTCCAAGAGTGACCATACGAGGCCATCACGATACCTGAGAAGGCAGAGAGAGGTTGAGAGAGAAAGATGAGCAGCATGGTAGTGAAAGAGGTGGGAGGGATTATGAGTTGTCTATAGATGTGTCTTTTTCCAATAGAATGGCACATTTAAGCATATATTTACATTTTTCCAAAAAATTTAGTAAAAAAAGCAGTAAAAATAAATCAAACAAGTTAATGAGTAATACCAGACTAACCATTCCCTCTGTTGATCCATCGCACTAATGGCACTGATGGTCTCCCAGAAAAAATGGCACCATTCTGGACGAAAGCTTCCTTCAAAATCTGCATGTTATTCAGCACAATCGCTTGCTTTTTGCCCAGGTATATGGAGCACATCTCACCATATTTCGGCATCTGAAGGATTACAAGACGTTTACTGTACCTACAACTTTGGGATGGGAAAAGTATAGCCCAATGCAACCGTTCCCACACTTGGTTTCAGGACTGTTTTTTTTTTTATCTAGACAATGTATCCTTAGCTATTACAAATAGGTTAGAGTCCAAAAATATCAATGCACTAAGACACTACTGGACACTGGAAACTATACCAGATACAAGGATGTGCAAAATGTTTTAATGAGCAGTCACTGAAATACTTCATAAAGAGATTGGTATTCAGTCTGTGTTTGAAGACAGTAAGGGATTTCCATGTGTTGCAGGACAGCAGGTCACCATTGCCATCAGGAAGGGGAGGGCAGGTCCATCTTTTGCTTTGTAGACAAGCATCTAATCTAAAAATCTAATGAGCACCTCTATACAAAAGCCACTGAAGGGAATGCAGCACTGGAGCAACATGGGTGAACTCAGGAAGACAGAGGAAGACAACCCATGGTGATGCATTCTGTTTCAGTTACAAGGCCCTGATGGCACACATAGAAAAACCAGCCAGGAGCAAGTTACAGTAGTCAAGCCTCTAGAGAGATGGAACAAGCATCTGACCTACATAGACAGAAAGAGTCCAATCCTCTGAATGTTGTTGAGGAAAACCTGCCTGACTGAGTCATATTTGCAACATGAGCTGAAAATAACTGGCCATCTAGAACTACGCCAACACTTTGTGCAGTTACACGGAATGAACCACTTCTTAAAGACTTCTTAAAGAAGATGGAAAGATCACAGTGTAGACCTGTACATACAGGGATGGATAACAAATAGGTTCTGATTCAGGTGGTGGGCTGCCATCCATGATGAAACATTCTGGGTGTCAGAAGGTGGGAAGGAAAGGATTAGTTATCAGCATATCAGTGGTAGGAAATGCCAAGAGTGGATACTACATTGCTGAAAGAGCAGGTGTAAAGATGATCCAGCACCAGGCCTTTGGGACGCCAATGGAGAGTCTCTGTGAAGTGGATGTGAATCTCCTCTATGTTACCTGATAAGGGCACCCCTCCAGGAAGGACTTAAACCACTTCCATGAGGTGGTGATTCCATTGTTGGCAAGGATGTACAAGAGGGTCTTGTGGCTTACTGTGTCAAAGGTTACAGAGGAGTCAAAAACCATCAGGGCTAATGACAGTTTGACATTCCTGCATGAAGCTTCTCCATCACTGCTACAAGGGCAATTTCTGTAGAGTCGATTAGTTTAAAGCCTGATTTGTTGTAATCCTGAAGCTGGTGCTAAGTGAGTAAGAGAGACAACTGTTTATAGACAGCAAATTCAAGTATTTCTCTATATGATGGAAGCAATGAAGGGAAGCAGGTCCTGGGAGATTGTCTGGAGCAATGTGGATGGGATGGGAGGGTGCCCTCATGGAAGCACTGTCCCCGAGGAAGATGGATAGGTTCATGCACAGATGACATGCCCTGTGCCAACTCGTCCAGGCAAGAAAGTCTAGCCCTATACATCTGACAGTCATAACAGATTTTATAAACAGTACAGAATCTTAGAAGCATGTTCACATCATCTTCAGTTATGAAGTAATTACAGCATTTAAAGCTTAAATGTTAGTGGGATCAAGAAGATATGAAGGATCAAGGCAACTGACCAATTTGATGAAGGCCATACGATCCTTGAAGAACTCCGGCAGGTTACCCACGAAAGGAAGTGGCTTGGGTCCGGGGGGGTTGCGGCTCCTGATAGAGTTCAGCCTAAAAATCTCCATCAGAAGCAGAGAGAGCAGACCCCCCAGTAGGGCCAAGCCCACTGACGTCCAGTCCAAATATTTCAGCACAGACTCCATTCTGAGTGAAGTGCAGTACAGCACAGACGCTCACAGCTTTATTCAGTAAAACCAGGAGGGGAGGGGAGGCAGCGAACCATTTGTTTTGAAAACAGCCATTTCCATAAAACTGTGTCACAATAGGTGTGTCTAGGGATAAGTTCAAAGCAGGGAAAAAAAAAAAACATTTTATGTGACCCATTAGGAGGTCAAAGACCTTCCAGTTTGGTAAGGCACTGTAGACAAAGTTCAGGAACACAGAAAACATCCACAGCTTTTGCAACACAGTGGAACTGTCGGCATACACAAACTGACAACCTAGTTAGCTAATACCAAAGCTCTACAAAAATAAAGGTTCTTAAGTAGTTCTTGGATTGAATATAAAATCTTTGGTGCAGAACATTTATAATCGGAGAGGATTATTTAAATGTTCTTTGCTCTTGCACATCTCATTTACAAAAGCCATTCTTTAGAGAACCACACACTGAAAGGTTCTTGAAAGAACCTTGACATTGCTCTGAAGAATTCTTTTGGCACCTTTATTTTACAGAATGTATCTGTGCTCCTTGAGTGTGGATACATGCTCTCCTTATCACAGTCATCCTCACACACACACTTATCTTAATAAGCAGTCCGTAACCTACAACCCAGAGTAATTTACCCCAGAGTAATCAACTTTTATCTTGCATATTGCTTGAGTTATGGGTCATATCTTCCTTTTATTTTGATGTGTCTATAAAGATGTCTGAAAGTGCTTTTACTCTTTTGTGGAGTGTTTCTGTAGTAGTGCAGAATGCACTTTAAAAAATAGCCTTGCCTGGAAGGCTTTGCCCAACAAATGTGTTTATTTTGTATTAAGGTTTTTTCCCCTTATTTCTGAAAGGTTAAATGTTGTTTAGGCTGTATTACTGCAGTTTGCAGTAATACAGCCTAAACAATATTCATTTAACACTACAAAAAATAAACTTTTTATTTGTAACTCGCCCCCAGAAAAACAATATGACTGCATATAGTAACTGGACAGGATACAATCTGATTAAACTTTGAGCGTAACACACCATCTGTCTTTTCTTTTCCCACACATTTGGCATTCGTTTGAAGTGACAAGTGTCACAATCTATTTATTTATTTTTATTTGTAGCTGATATTGACAGTCTGACTAGGTTGAAGTCAGAGGAGGCAAGAGGTGCTTTGAGGCAAGAATAGATCATGCTATCAATCAAAATTAAAGACTACCATCTACTGGCAACTGCTGCAACCACAGGACTACATTTTTGGACCGGTTATTTTTTCAGCTCTACTTCTGACCTGGAGAGTCCAAAGATGGTGCAGAAGTTTCATTCATTCTTTCTTTACATGGGGTTTTCCATATTTACATAAGTAGTTTTCATACAAGACAGTTCTAAACCAGAATCAAAAAAAAACAAAAAACAAAAAAACTGTAAAGGTCATGACTCTGTGAAGAATGAATTGTGCAGACAAATTCAGGCAAACTCTTCAAAGTCAAACACATACACCAGAATCACTCAACTGGAAAGGCTTTTCATTAAATTTTGGAACATGGCTGCAGAGATTCACTTCATTCAGCCAAAAGAGCACTCATGAGGTTGGGTGTTAAGGTCTGGGGAGTTGGAGAATAACACAGTCAGCATTTCAATTTAAGCGTTGAATGGGGTTTGAGATCAGGGATCTCTGAAAGCCAGTCAGATTTTTCCACATCAACCTGCATCCCCCAAACCCAGATCTGTCAGACAGCCAAGTCACACACACACATTATCTAAGTCTCTTATCCTCCTGGGCTGCGGGGGTTGATGGAGCCTATCCCAGCAGTCAGTGGGCTGAAGGCAGGAAACCCCCTGGACAGGTCGCCAGTCCATCACAGGATGGCCAAATCATGAAGCGTGATTCATCACTCCAGAGAACACAACTCCATTCCTGGAAAGTCCAGTGGTGGCATGTTTTCACTGACCAGCTGACTCTTGGCATTTCATTGTGATCTCAGGCTTGTGTGCTTCTTCTCTGCTGCCATGGAAACCCATGATGCTCCCAGCTAACAGTTCTTGCTGCTGCTTCCAAGGGCTTTTTGGTCCGTTTATGTGGCCTAACACTTCACAACTGAGCTGCAGTTGCTCCTAGATGAGCTAGCTTGTTGGAAAGGTAGAATTCTATGACAGTGCCACAATTGCAGTCACGAAGCTCCTCAGCATGACACTATCTACTGCCAATGTTTGTCTATATGCATGGCGGTGCAGTTAATTTGTAGGAACCTGTTAGCAATTGATGAGTCTGATATAGTCATGTACTGCAAACAGTTGTGTAAAAATGGACTTGGAATAGACACCTGTGGGACACCACAGAAAACTTCATCTTTTTGAGATTAACAAAGTAGTGTTTTCCAGTTTCAGAAGTGTTAACCCACAGGTTGCTACTGGATGCTCCCAGAACTTATCATCATTTAGTTCAGGGGTGTCCAGTCTTATCTGCACAGGGGCAGTATAGTTGCTGGTTTTCATTCTAAACAAGCTGGAGCATTGTTAAGCAACCACTGTGGTTAAAGTTAAATGATACTTTGGTAGAGAACTTGGTATAAGTGTATGTCAGAGGGATATAGAGGATTAGATTTGGAATGAGATTTGGTCAGATGGTGGAGAATTTGGGTGTCTGTGTTAAGTGTAGTGTGCTAGGATTCCTATGGTTTGGTGGAGGAGTTTAGACTGGTAAAGCAGGTAAAGAGGTCTTTAGAGGTTAGGTGCTTGAGTAGAGGCAGTGTGTCGCTATTAAGGTTTGTAAACTGAGAGAAAAGATGGAGCATATTAAATAATTTGGTTCAACAAATTAGTTACAAAGATAAACTCCTAAAGGCATGAGGAAGAAACGTTGAGAACCAAGACTCAACAGGGAACCCCATCCTTCTGTGGTCAACATCAGATTGTAAAGATCGTGTTAAACATTGGCAGAGTGTTAGATACAAGAGCTTGGCAGGTTAGATGACAGTGAGGCAGATTGTAACTAGTTGAATTGAATGGACATGGAGCAGGGACGGCTGTTAGAAGGTAGTGGCTGGGAGTTGGTGATGAGGTGTGGAAAGGTAGAGGAAGCTAAATGATGCTGTGGTTAGTGCAGAAGGTAGCTTGGCATGGATCTTGTTGGCACCATGGTTGTTCAGTTATAAGACTTGGTGAAGATTACTTGTGAGAAGATAACAATGTGGTTCCAGATTCTGGCAGTGCCAGTAAGAATGGAAAGATGCATTTGGTAGCTGAAGGCAGCCATCGTATCCACTGTTCTTGGCTTAAGGTTTGAACAACATAGACTGCCAGTGAGTTGTGCCAGAGGTTGTGTGGTCATGTTCACAATGCATAGGTGTGGCTGCTTCCAAGTAGCACAACTCTTCTTTCATCCCTCAGGAAGCTGCAGAATGGTAGACACATGGCGCTTCAAAGAGAGGGTCAGGGCATGGAGATGAAATATGAGTCCTTGCCTTGAGGATCTGCAACAGCCAAAACGAATGGGATGTTGGGCCTTGGTGGGTAGAACTACAAGGAGGGAGGTGGTGGCACAAATTGGACAAAGAGTTAAAGAGGTGGTGGAGGGGCAGGGCAAGAGTGGGGGTGAGGTTTATGCTTGGGACAGCAGGGTGGAGGGGCATTTGCCTTGACGGTGCAGGAAGTGATGGGACTAGCTGAGGGACAGGGTTGAGAGGAGATACTAATGCCCAAGACTTGGAGGATACATGGGTGCAGGCTAAAAGTAATAGGGGAGGTATTGGGATGTAGAGAGAGATGATTAAGGGGTGAAGGGAGAGGGAGGGGTGGGATATGAATGTGGTGATGTCATCATGTAGAATGTTCGTTGCCATGGTCATGCCATAGCAGTGGACAAGCATCGATGCAGAGGCGTCATCACACGGTTTGTGTGCCAGTTTGAGCTTAGAGCAGTCGAGGTACAGTGGCTGAGGGCAGGCCTTGTTTCCCTCAAAAACAAGACAAGGTGGATCAAAGATTAGGTGGTATAATTCAGTTTTCAGACTAATTAAGTAATCTACTTTATTAACAAGAATGTGCTCTAAAGTTCTGCTCAGAAGTTTATATACTGTGGAGGAATGTGTAAAATGTGTACTATTCTTTAAATAAAACAAATGATCAGGCAAATCACATTTATTTTATTTTAATGGTATTCAGATTAAATCATAAGGCATTACAGAATAGCATCATCATTAAACAAAACATAGCACTAAAGAAAATACTGAGATAGTCCACGTTCAAAAGTGTGCACACCCTTAGTACTTAATACTGTGTATTGCCCCCTTTAGCATCAATGACAGCTTGCAGTGTGGATTTTATTTTCTCAGGTGGTAAAGCTGCCTATTGTTCTTGGCAAAAAGCATCAAGGTCCCATAAATTCTTGGCATGTCTTGCATGAACTGCACACTTGAGACCTTCCCAAAGTGGTTCAATGATATTAAGGTCAGGAGACTGTGATGGCCACTCCAGAACCTTCACTTTTTCCATTGCAGCAACTGAAGAGTTGACTTGGCCGTGTGTTTTGGATCATTGCCATGTTGGAAAGACCAAGTGATTCCCAGGCGCAGCTTCCAGGCTGATGAATGCAAATTGTCCACCAGTATTTTCTGATGACGTTACATTCATCTTGCCATCAATTTTGACTAAACTCCCTGTGCTGGTGTAGCTCACACACCAAAAAACATAAAAGACACACTTCCATGCCTCACAGCACAGATGGTGTACTTTTCGTCAAAGGCTTTGTTGGCTCCTCTCCAAGCATACTGTTTATTGTTGTGACCATAAAGTTCAATTTTGGTCTCATCACTCCAAGTGACTTCCAAAAAGTTTTAAGGTTTGTCTAGATTTTGCTTGGCATAAGTGGGCTGGTTTGTGGCTTTTTGTGTGTTCCTCGTGACTCAGTATCCAGCAAAGTAAGTGCAGCCCTGAATAAAATATGCAGGGGTCTCTCAAGAGCTGAGAAACTCATTGACTGTTTATACACAGACACTAATTACAATCAAACAAATCACAGTTGTGAAAACTTCCCTTAATAACTATTTAAACCTTAATAACTACTTAAACTTGTCTGTATATTATTGGGCCAAGCACAAAAGGGTGTGTAAATTTTTGATCAGGGCCATTTGGATGATTTCAGGTATCATTATGATTTAAAAGGGCACATGATAATAAATGGCTTCATGTACACTGCATAAAAGTGATAAGGCACATGTGACTATTATTAAAAACAGCTTACATTTTAAACTGTAAAACTGTTTAAACTCTTGTGTATAATGGATAAAAGCACAAATTATTGCGCTTATTAATTTGGTACAATTTGGATCATGAATTCCAGGTATAGTATAATTAAGAGCTGTATAATGAGCTCTTAGTTGTGATACTGCAAATGGTGTCCTCCAGATCTAATACTGAATGTTTACATGTAAAGCCATATCATGTGTATGTGATTCAGTGAGTGGTCTCTCTGCTGCGGCAGACTGTATCGAAGGGGAACGGAGAGCGGATCACACCCACGATGCCTGCCATGTTGTACGGTGGAGCTCCAGGAGGCCATGAGAACTTTATCCGCTGGAGCAGAGAGGTGAAGAAGATGAAGAGCTCTGTTCTCGCTAGAGTCTCACCCAGACACACTCTCGGACCTGCAGCACACAAACAAAATAAAAATCTAAATCTCAGTACCAGAGTGGGTAATCAAGAAAAGAGGCTGGTAACATTTTGGGCCTGTTACTGTGGGTTAACATCAGTGCTCTATTATATTGTCCCAGGTGCAAGGAGAAATGAATACCATGCAAATATAAGAAAGATCAGGGTCACATAAATGGGAACGAACTTGTATAATTTACATGTATTCTTTTAAATAAAGTAGTTATTTGTGTGCATACAAAAGAAGCTGTAGCTTCGAAGAGCTAAGAGTCTATTCCAAAGACATTCGATTCACCAATTCCAGGCATTTGGGAATGGGGAGTGAATTCCAAAGCTCCAAAACAGAGACTCTCAGGTTTGCCTGCACTCGCATCTGAGACAGTCTCTGCACACAGAGTCTGTGATATTCTGCCATTGCTGCCTAGACAGCCAGTCTGAAAAGCACATTCTTCCACAACTCACCTCTCTATTAGCCTTTATTAGCTTTTGGACAAATCTTTTTCATTCAAAGCCTCAGTCTCTCAAGGGTCCGTTTCTCTTGAGCAGTAGGACACTAGAATCATTCACAAAATACACTCTAGCGACATTGTTGACTCATTAAACCTGAAAACTCATCGCTGTAGAAACAAAGGCACACACAGGAGCCCTACCAATAGTTTTGTGGGAATTGTACTAAGTAGGTCTCGTGCCGATCAAATGTTATGTCAAACTGGCATTTGAGCTTGTGTTCAAACTTAACCTTTTCCATTTAATTAACAATTTTTTAAACAGAAAATTGATAAAGCTTCTGATGTTGGCTGGTCTGCATCACATCTCAGTCAGGCAGTGAGTCCCACTTCAACCCTCCCCAGTGCTGATGACCATATGCATTATTAATTATCAACTGGCAACCTTTGTTGCACACAGCCCGACAAGTGGACATCAGCAGGAGACTCACCCAGAGAAAAGGCCAGAAAGTACTCGTTTTTGCAGAACTGCCCCTTCTCATCCAGAAAGTTCTCTGGGTTGAACGTGTCCGGGTACTTCCAGTGCTCTTTGTCAGTCATGATAGCCGTAAAGTTGGGCAAGACATTTGTTCCCTGCCATGGCAAAAAGAAATAACTAAATAACATATATTTGGTCTGAATAACCTAAATTCTCATTACATTGGTATTAATTTCTCTGTTTAGTAACTGAAAATGTTTTTCAAGCCAAAATTTTGCCTAAAATAAATTCATGGTACTCTGCAGTGTTGGAAGTTATGCACTCGGTACCACAAAGGTATTCAATTCTGATATCCAGCTCAGATAATGAAACATAAATATCATTATTTTTAAGAGTGATTTGAACCATGATTTTTATGTTAAGCCTGTAAAATGCTGTTTTGGCCAGCCCCAATTGTTTTAGTTTCCTAAAACTAGCATTAGTCACTTATAAAATTCAAAAAAGTAATTAAAAGATACATAAAAACCTATAATAAATGTTGTATTAATATTTTTGTAGAACATTTTCTGGTAACCTCATTTCAGTGGTTCATCCACTCATACTTAAATGAATTCATCCACCCATCTGGGAAGTGTTCTATCCATTCAGTCTTTCATCTGGTCAATCTACAAGCCCTCTATCCCTCCATCATTACCGCGGGCAGGTGGTATCCTTGTAGCTGTGTTGCTTCCGTGGTTTGGTGTATCACACCGAAAGGAACAATGTTTGCGGAGCGCTGGATTTCATAAACAGTGGCACAAGTGTACGGGAGCCGTGCGCGGTCATCCATGCAGGGAGAGCGGTCAAAACCCAGAACCCGAATGATCTCTTCATGACAGCGCTCTGGCATGGTCAACCAGGCATATGAGAAAGTGGGGAAAAACAGAGAATGCAAAAAAGAGATGATGTTACCGAAAATACAATATAATGTGTTCTAATCAGTTAGATCATAGAACAACAAAAGGAACAGCACCACTTAAACCACAACTGGTGGACAAATGAAATCAGGTCAAGGGTATTGGTGACCTACAGCAGTACCTTGCACGTCGGGATGGTTCATCATGTAAACGATGCCCCATCTGAGAGTATTTGCTGTAGTGTCCGTCCCAGCAGAGAACAGGTCAGTGGTCGTCCTCATCATGTTCTCCACATGGAATGTAGAGTCTTCTTTTGACTCTTGCTGTTCAAAATGAGAAAGGATTTAATTCTGTAAGACACTACCTACAAAAGGATACTGACGGCTGCTCAATGTTGAGCCCTTACCTTGGTCATCTCGATCAGGTAGGCGTCAGTGAAGTCCCGGGGGTTGTCTGGGTCCAGAGTCTTCTTGTGCTCCTCCACAATTTCAAGGATAAATCTTCTTAAGGCTTTGGCATTCTGCCACATCTTCTGGTGCGGCCCTGGAAAGTACTGTATAAATGGGACCAAGTTGAAGATCTGCAGGGAAAAAAATAGAATTCGTGATCTATTGCTTTCTATTCGTCCTGCAGCTTATTTCACCACTTCATTCTCACATTAGAATTTAGAATAACTTTATTTACATCTCAACCATTGAATTCCTCTTTAAATTCCTCTTTCTGAAGACAGAGACCTAGTCTCTAGATACAGTTCTGCCCACCATTATTGGCACCCTTTTCTTTTTCATATAAAATTTACAATGTCTTCATAAATAAATGTAAATATACCAAGTTTTTATCATCAGAATATTTTAATGGATGTCTAAAGTTATTAAACAAAATAACATCTTAACTGGTAGGAAGCAATTTTAAAGAAAAGAAATCAAATATGACAAGGAGAGTACTAATGACACCTTATGCTAATATTTTGTTGCACACCCTTTGGTATGAATGCCGGCTTCCTTCAATTTTGGTAGTCACGTACAAGTTTCTTGGACCTGTCTGCTGGTAGTTTTTCCCACTGCAAACTTTTCAAGCTTTTGGGACATTTGCAGAGTGTCTCTTCCCTATGGCAGATTCCAAAGATTTTTAACGGGGTTAAGATCAGAACTCATTGCTGGCCAGTTTAAAACAGTCCACATCTAACTTTGCAACCATTCTGTTGTGCTTTTAGATGTGTGCTTTGGGTCTTTATCATGCTGGAGGACCCATGATCCTTGACCCAAACCTTGCTTCCTTACACTAGGTAGCACACTTGGTAATCTTGTGATCCCATTATTCCTTCAGTTTAGTTGAGGCCTCCAGTACCTGAGGCAGCAAAGCAGCCCCACTACATAATGGATCCACCACCATTGCCAAAGAGCTCTACTTTTGTTTTGTCTGTTTACAAAATATTTGCCCAAAATGATTCTGGTTTGTGTAGGTACATTTGGGCAAAGATCAGTCGTGCCTTTTTATGACTTTCTTTCAGCAATGGAGTCTTCCTTGACCTTCACCCATGAAGTCCTTCTTGGTTTAGTGTGTGGCGTACGGTATGTGTTGAAACCATCACTCCAGATTGCTCCAGGTCTGCCTTTAGCTCTTTGGATGGTACACTGGGTGTTTTTTCCACAGTTCGTACCAACCTTCCAAGACTTTTCTCACTGATTTACCTCTTTGACCAACATCCTTAGAAATTCTTGACAGTTCCATGAACCATAAACATCTTAATTACGTTACAAACTGTTGAAACAGGGATGTCAAGGACTTTGGAGATGGCCTTGTACCATTTACCATTCTTGTGTTTGGAGATAATAATAGCACTTCTGATGCTCTCAGACAGCTCTCTGGTGAAAAGTGATCAAGGAAAGTAAAGTGGCCTTATTAAGCATTAAAGTCACCATTCATTGGTTAATTCAAGCCATGTAAGCCCTCATTTTTTCACAGGTGAGTCTAATCTAGTCTAATCTAAATGGAATTCACTTCACTTCACTTGGAATCGCTTTTTAATTTTTTTACTTTAGCTATTGTGTACTGGACGTGAGTATATATTGACCAAAGATGCTTCACAACACATGTTTGTGGTTGGTATAGTGTAGTAGGTAACACCTCTGCCTTCTACACTATATACTGGTGTTCAATCCCCACCTAGGTAAGCACTCTACACTATACCAATAAGAGTCCTTGGGCAAAACTCCTAAAACTACCTTCACCTATCTGTGTAAAATGAACAAATTTTAAGTCACCCTGGATAAAGGCATCTGCCAAATTTTTGGCAGATATTGTACATTATGTACATACAATTCAGGTGTGCCAATAATGGTGGCTAGAACTGTATACTGTTTATTTCTTGAACTTTTCATATTACGAACTTCTTGTCTGGACACAGGCTCCAAGACAAGAGTTTTTTTTTTAAATCGACAATGAGTATTAAACATTAGAAATAATTTTAGCGTAGGCATATGCCACGATTGTTGCCTTTAAAATGCCTAATATTCATTTAGGTAATAAATTATAAGGTTTTGCACTCTGACGGTTTTTCTACATGCTCTGTGAAAATTAGATGATGATATCACCAGGAAAGCTGAGAATTACCTGTCCCACGTATGACCCAGCGAGCTGAATGTTTCTATTCAGAATATCTAGCAGCGTAGCAAAGCTCTTGTTGTCATAATCGAAGCGGTCTCCAAAGATGATGGAGCAGATGATGTTGGAAACTGCATTCATAAGAGGGTGTTTGGGATAGAAAGCCTTTCCTTCAAAGAAATGGCATGAAAAGGTATTTGATGAGGAAGAATACAAAGACGGAACAATGACAATATACAATGTGTTATTTGTTTACTATTTGTTTCTGTTACTATTTGTTTCTGTTATCATCACTATCAAATATGTATGCATCCATCAGACAAAAAATGGCCATGCATTTGAGCAAATACTGTGTCGAACTCCGGCTAACATGTACGAACCAATGACAGACAACGCATTGGATCAATTCTAGCACTTCTGCCTGTCATTATAGTTGTATATCAGATAAGGATAACCTGACCAAAGAACTGCACTACCTTCTTGTTTGAGCATCTCCTTGACGAGGTAATGCGCCTCCTCGGCCACACGTTCCTCCACAGTTTTCTTCCCCAGACCAAAGTCACGCAGCGTGTGCAGAGCAAAGCGGCGCTGCTGCTTCCAAGAGTGACCATACTTGGCCATCACGATACCTGAGAAGGCAGAGAGAGGTTGAGAGAGAAAGATGAGCAGTATGGTAGTGAAAGAGGTGGGAGGGATTATGAGTTGTCTATAGATGTGTCTTTTGTTGATGGAATGGCACATTTAGGCATAACTTTTAGAAAAAGTAGCAGTAGACATAAACAAACAAGTTAGTTATGAGTAATGCAAGACTAACCATAGTCGTGTTTGTTGATCCAGCGTACTACAGGCACTGATGGTCTCCCAGAAAAAATGGCACCATTCTGAACGAAAGCTTCCTTCAAAATCGGCATGCTATTCAGCAAGATAATTTGCTTTTTGGCCAGGTGTACGGAACACATCTCACCATATTTCGGCATCTGGAGGATTACAAGATTTTTACTGTACCTAGAACTTTGGAATGGAAAAATATATGTTCTCAATACAAAAGCTCCCACTCTTGGTTTCAGGTGTGTTTTTGATTTACATGAGAATCTACCATGAGAATCTTAATACAGTCAACCTTGTGCTGAAGACTTCAGTACAGTGCTCTCTCTGCTCTAATAAACATGATTTATTACATCAAAAGTTTGATTTTAGAGTTTACATTTTGCAGATGCTCTTATTCAGAGTGCTTTATCTACTCAGACGATGTATCTTTTGCTAGTACGAACAGGTTAGAGTCCAAAAATATCACTGCACTAAGGTACTAGCAGAAACAAGAAATAGTCCCAGGTACAAGGATACACACTACAGAATGTTTTAATGAGCGGTGACTGAAATACTTCTCAAAGAGATTGGAATTCTTCTTGGAAGACTTTAGGGAACTTCCATGTCTTGAAGGACGGCAGGTCAAGCTAAATCAAGTTTTGACCATTGCCATCAGGTAAGGGAGGGCAGGTCTATTTTTGACTTTGTAGCTAAGCTTCTATTCTAAAAAATTAGTGTGGGCCTCTACACACAAAGCCAGTGCAGCAGTGGAGCGACATGGGTGAACTCTATGAGACAGAGGAAGACAACCCCTGCTGACGATTTTCTGGATCAGATACAAAAGCCTGATGGCACACAGAGAAAACCAGCCAGGAGCGAGTTGCAGTAGTCAAGCCTCTAGATGACAAGACATGGAACAAGCACCTGACCTACATAGAGAGAAGGAGTCAAATCCTCCAATGTTGTTGAGGAAAAAACTGAGTCAGCTTTGCAACATGAGCTGAGAACAACTGGTCATCTAGAATAACTCAAGATTTTGTGCAGTTAAACAGAATAAACCAAGACTTTTTAAAGAAGACGGCAAGATCACAGTGAGGACCTGTGGATCTGGGGATGTATAGAAAATTGATCCTGATTCAGGTGGTGGGCTGCCATCCATGATGAGATGTCAGCAAGACATGCCAATATGCAATCAGACACCTGGGTGTCCGAAGATGGGAAGGAAAGGATTAGTGGTCATCAGCATATCAGTGGTAGGAAATGCCATGAATGGACACTACACTGAAAGAGCAATTTTAAAGAGAAAAAAGGATGACCCAGCACTTGGCCTTTTGGGACACAGATAGAGAGTCTAGATGGAGTGGATGTGAATCTCCTCTATGTTACCTGGTAAGAGCACCCCTCCAGGTAGGATTTAAACCACTTCCATGTAAAGGTGGTGATTGCACTGTTGGCAAGGTTGGACAAGAGGGTCTTGTTGTTTACTGTGTTAAAGTTTACAGAGAGGTCAAAAACCATCAGGACCAAAGAGAGTCTGACAGTTTCTGCATGAAACTTCTCCATCACTGCTACAAGGGCAGTTTCTATAAAGTCTACCAGTTTAAAGCCAGATTTCTTGGGAGAGCTGGTTCTAAGTTAGAAAGAGAGACCACTGGTTAAAGACAACAAATTCAATTATTTTTTGCACATGATGGAAGTAATGAAGGGAAGCAGGATCAATGTTGATGGGATGGGAAGAGATGGTGCCCTAATGGAAGCACTGACCCCAATGGCTCCGAAAGAGATCACACAGACCATAGATCGGTTTCTCTGAACCCTCCCATCCGAAGAAAGAAGAGCTGTGAACCCAAATAATCTTGAAACACCCTGACACTTGGTGGAAGCCCTGGAAAATGCAATGACCACCCTAGTCATGGGCACATGAGAATCTGCCACCACTTCAAAAGGAACTTCTGGGGACCCTCAGTGATAGGTCAGGAGAGTGATCTGAGAGGGCTGGGTCAGGGTGATTTTGTTGTGAAAAGGCACGGTGAGTAGGGAGCAGAGCTATTCCAAGAATTAATTTATGGTTCTTAATGTCAGCTTTTTGTGAACTCACCTAGCTATGTGCTGGTATGCAGCCATAGAACAAAAAACCATTGCTATGGAATGGGCATTAGAGTAACTATTGATGGGTAGCCCTTTCTCACTGAAATCGCATATTCGCAGGACTGGCAAAGATTTTGCTTTCATAGGTCTTTGATATCTGTCCATCCAAGACCTCCTCATTCAAGCTGTGTCAATGAGCCCTGCACAGTAGTGCCAATGGGCTTTCCTGGTGACATGCCCTGTAATCAGGTCTTGCCCAGTGGATTGGCTCATCATTTAAGGGAGGTGAGGGAGTGTGACAGTGGGCGTGTGGCAAAGGGTGAGTGACATGCTTGCACATTTAAAAAAGGAAAGAAATAAAATATTTAAAACTAATATAAAATAACTACGTATTCAGCTCTCTTCACTGTAGTCTCCACAACAGCAGAGGGGCAAAGGCAGCATTCGCACATAAGATATGGTAAACTTTTAGTTGACATTCTGTTAATCGTCATGGAAGCTGTCTGCCAAAATGTCCAAGTAAGAAAGTCCAGCACTATACATCTTAGGAGCTTTGGAACTTTGGCACTAACCAGCACGTTCACAGCATTTTCAATTATACAGTTATTAGCAGCATTTAAACCTTAAAAATGAGAGGCATCAAGAAGATATGAGAGATCAAGGCAACTGACCAATTTGACGAAGGCCATTCGATCCTTTAATATCTGTGGCAGGTTACCCACAAAGGGAAGCGGTCTGGGTCCGGGGGGGCTGCGGCTCCTGATGGACTTCAACCTAAAAATCTCCAGCAGAAGCAGAGAGAACATACCAACCAGCAGGGCCAAGCCCACTGATACCCAGTCCAAATATCTCAGCACAGACTCCATTCTGAGAGAAGTGCAGGAGAGAACAGACACCCACAGCTTTATACACCAAAACCAGGAGCAGGCGGGGAGGGAGATGGGGAGGGGAAGAACCATTTGTTTCGAAAACGGACATTTACATACAACTACGTCACAATAGATAAGTTCAGATGAGACATTTTATGTTACCTGTTAGGAGGTCAAAGATCTCCAAGTCTAGTACGGCACTGCAGACAAAGTTCAGGAACACAGGAAACATCCACAGCTGTTGCAACACAGTGAAACTGTCTGCAAACAGAAACTTGCAACTTAGATAACTGATACCACACATACACACACACACACACAAACACACACACATACATCATCTAAACTGCTTATCCTTCTGGGTCACAGTGTAACTGATTCTATAGCTCTCAAAAATAAAGGTTCTGAAGCAGTCTGTGGATTGAACATGTGGAAAAATCTGTACTTGGACAATTATATTAGGTGGCAAATCTTTAAATATAGAGCAGAATGCTTTTTTTGTCATTGTATAAAATATACAACTAAATTTAGAGAACTACTCCTCATCAGTGCAGATAAAGACGGACAGAAACACACCAAAAACACAGTCTTCAAATCTTACATGCTTATTTCAGTGTTACTGCTCTTAGAACTTAGTATGTGTTTCATTTAGAGTTCTGGTGGCCCAGGGAAAGAAACCACACTTAAATCTGTTTGTCCGGCTTTTAATGCACCTGTACCGCCTGCCAGACGGCAGGAGATTGAACAGTTGGTGACTAGGATGGTAAGGGTCCTTGGTTATTTTCCTGGCTCTGCTGATGCACCGGGAGCTGGCGATGTCTTCCATAGAGGGCAGAGGGGAGCCGATGGTTTTTTGAGCAGTATTTATGACCTGTAGGGTTCTCCTATTGGCTACTGAGCAGCCAGCATACCACACTGTAATGCAGTACGCCAGTGCTGTGGAGTGGTAGAAGGCCACCAGCAGCTTGTACCTTCGAAGTACTCACAGAAAGTGCAGTCGCTGTTGGGCCTTTTTCACCACCGCCGTTGTATATTAGCGGACCAGGAGAGATTCTCTGCGATGTGTGTTCCCAGGAAGTTGAAGGTGGAAACCCTCTCCACACAGTCCCCATTGACAAAGTGAGGCAGGATCCACTCTGTGCTTTCTAAAGTCAATAACAATTTCTTTGGTTTTACTAGTGTTAAGTACCAAGTTGTTCGTAGAACACCACTCTGACAGCTTCTGTACCTAATCTCTGTACACCGACTCATCTCCTCCAGTTATGAGCCCAACCACAGTAGTGTCATCTGCGGATTTAATAAGTGATAGAATGGATAGCAGTGCAGTCATAGGTGTACAGAGCATAAAGAAGTGAACTCAGCACACAGCCCTGTGGAGAGCCGGTGCTAAGCATGAGAGCAGAGGAGGAGAGGGGACCGATTCTTACTGTCTGTGGGTGATTTGTAGAAAAAACCCTTTATCCAGACACAAATGAAAGGCGGAAAGCCTGAGACAGAGAGCTTGTCGATCAGTACATCGGGGACAATTGTATTGAAGGCACAGCTGTCATCCTCTGCCATCCTTATGGAGTGCTGTAGCGAAGGCATCCTCTGTAGATCTTTTTGCTCTATACGCAAACTGATGTGGATCAGAGTTTGGAGGAAGGCCAGCTTTGATGTAATGTGAAATTAGCCTATCAAAACATTTCATAACTACCGATGTCAATGCGTTTGGTCTGTAGTCATTTAGACCATTGATGCCTGGCTTCTTTGGGACAAGGATGATAGTAGCCGACTTCAGACAAAATGAGAAGGTGGCTTGTGTTAGGGAAAGGTTGAATGTTTTAGTAAAGACTCCTGATAACTGGTCAGCACGAGCTTTAATTACTTTGCCGTACAGCATCAGGTCCAGCAGCTTTCATTGGAATCACTGACTTGAGCCCCAAACTTACTTGATGTTCTTGAAGAGTAAGCATATGGTGGCTAGAGGTTGGTGGAGGCAATGTAACTGGATGAGGCCTCTTTGTCTCAAAGTGAGTAAAGAAATGGTTCAATTTCTCTGCTGACCAGCACAGATGCATTGCCTTTGTGTTTGGCAAGTTGCTGTAGTCCCTGCCACACCTGCTGTGGATTATTGTGTGTTAGATGGTCTTCAACTTTTCTTTTGTAGGCCACTTTTGCAGCTTCATTGCCTCCCTCAAGTCTGTTCTTGCCCTGCTATACAGGGCCCTGTCCGCTGTCCTGAAGGCATTATTATGGACTTTCAGGAGTGACTGTACTTTGTTAGTCATGCAGCGTTTTTGTTTGGGATGGACTCGGATGTGTTTATTGACCTTTACATTATCAGTGCAATTCTTTATGTAAAACTCCGATAAGTCTGGTTTTTCAAATATAATCCATGCTGTGTTTGCAAAGCAGCCTTGCAGCTGAGAAAATGCACCCTCAGGCCAAGCTTTAATAATTGTTGTAACTGGCTTGGTTGCCCTCCTAATGGGGGTGTATGCAGGGATAAGGAGCAGTGAGAGATGGTCTGACAGACCTAGATGTGGAAGAAACACTGCTCTACATGCATGCTATATGCATTAAGTTAGAATAAACTAGATCAAGTGTGTTTCCCCGCCCTGGTGGGACACTGTACGAATCTGGGAAGCACTGGCCTTAAGCATGCCTGACTGAAATCCCCAGCAACTCCCTCAGGATGCAAGAACTATGTTAACATTAGCATCTAGTGGTATATAAACAGCTGTAATTATCACTGCTGTTAGCTTTCTAGGCACGTAGAAGGGTCTGCATATGACAACCATTGCTTCCAGGTCAGGAGAGCATAAGGTGTACGCAATCTTACTGTTTGTTCACCAGTCGTTATGCACATATACGCATAATCCTCCTCCTCTGCTCTTACCAGATTTCACTGTTCCTGTCTTGGTGATGGGTAGTGCGGCCTGTCAGCTGTACTGCAGCGTCAGAGATCACGAATATAAGCATTTGCTGCTATTTGTAGATCTAGTTTGTCTATTTTGTGCACGATGGATCTGGCGTTGGTGATGAAGATGCTGGGTAACGAGGGTTTGTGCGGCTGTTTCCTTAGCCTAGCTAGTAGGCCTGTTTGGCATTCCCACATTTACTTCCCTTTGCTCCTCCGTTTGCGTATGCGACACCAAACATGACAAAAGACGTGAGAGTAAACGCGAGACAGAATGAACCTTTAGGACGTGAAAGAGGTTGAGGTACTGCGCGAGAGAGACTGAAACTGTGAGAGAGAGAGCGAAAGTTTACCCACATAAGAGAGATCGACATTTTGCCTGTGAGAGAGAGTGAAACTGCGTGAGATCTAAATTTTGCCTGTGAGTTAAACTGCGCAAGAGATCGAAATTTTGCCTGTGAGAGAGAGTGAAACTGTGCGCGAGAGATTGAAAGTTTATTTTACTTACTATATAGGTGCACTTTGTAGTTCTACAGTTACAGACTGTAGTCCATCTGTTTCTCTGCATACTTTGTTAGCCCCCTTTTACCCTGTTCTTCAGTGGTCAGGACCCCCATGGACCCCCACAGAGCAGGTACTATTTGGGTGGTGGGTCATTCTCAGCACTGCAGTAACACTGACATGGTGGTGGTGTGTTAGTGTGTGTTGTGCTGGTCTGAGTGGATCAGACACAGCAGTGCTGCTGGAGTCTTTAAACACTGTGTCCACTCACTGTCCACTGTCCGCTCCTACCTTGTCAGTCCACCTTGTAGATGTGAAGTCAGAGACGATAGCTCATCTGCTGCTGCACAGTTTGTGTTGGTCATCCTCTCGTCCTTCATCAGTGGTCACAGTGTGACAAAGTGTGCCTATATAGTAAGTGGAGCTGATAAAATGGACAATGAGCTTAGAAACAAGTATGGTCGTAATGTTATGCCTGACCGGTGCATCATTACACTGAGTTGAATCTTTTGCATCCTCATATTGATAGCAAACACTGGCGCAGGCTGACAGTGCTTAACATGAACCAGCTCCTCCTCAATGTGAAGTTCAACACCTCTCAGTTTCAACCTCTCTCGCGTCCTAAAGCCTCATTCTCGTTTCCTCGCACGTCTTTTGTCATGTTTGGCGCCTCATATCTGCGCCGCCTCCTCGACCCAGTTAGTCCAGTGGAGCCGGGGCTGTTGTTCTGTTGCTGGATGTTATCAGAAGTGAATTGTAATGTCGATGTGACATTTATAACCGATGTTAATCAGCTCAGCACGACTATGAACGTTTCTCGTGTTGTGGCTCGTTCGAACACACAGCGGCCGATTCAGAGAGCTAAACACGCCGCAGCGCCCATGCGCGCCGCGGGCTGTTCCACCAGACACTCTGACCTAATTTACAAAAGCCGTTCCTTAAAGAACCACCGACTGAAAGGTTCTTGGAAGAACCCTGACAGTGCTCCGAGAGGTTACTTCGGTATCTTGATGTGTGGATACATGCTGTCCTATTACAGTCATCCTCACACACACACTCGCCTTAATAAGCAGCACTCAGCCAACAGCCCAGAGTCGTCTACCCTACAGTGATCAACTTTCATCTTGCCTACTGCTTCCCTGATAGCGGGAGGATAGTGGGCCACTGTTGGCCCACTGATAGCAAAGCTGGTGGTCCACTGGCATTCTGCTCAGCGTTTTCCGGGCGGCCCACTGAGCAGAGTTTTAGACAAAATCCTAATTATCATCACTCATTTTCCACTCACAGTCCAATTTCCTTATTTTTCCTTCCTTCCTTTCTTTAGTTATACTTTGTAAATTAATTTGGTAAATAATTTTAATCCAGCTCAGTGTGAGCGACATCATTTTTATAAAACCATTTCAAATCAGGCCTAGTTATTATTTTTTTTCTCCCAGTTGTTTGTAATATTTGTCTCAGTTTATTTTCCAAAATAAAAGTCTCTGTGTTTAAAATCTGTTTGAGGGGATTAGAAATTAGTTAGAGCCTGTATCAAGGACAGTAATTTGGGTGGTCCCACGGAGGACCAGCAGTGGCAAACAGTCAGCGGGGGGCCGACCTTATTAAGTCAGCGGACCAATATTTGCTTGCTACCTGGATTGAGTTAAGTCTCTGTAAAGATTTGTTGAAGTGCTTCTGTTCTTTTCCTGGAGAACTTGAATTAAAATATACTTGCTTCAAAAATAGCCTTACATTACAGTACAAAAAAAAAAATAATAAAAAATTAATGACATTGCATACCCTCGCAAAATATATGCATTCCCTATAATAATTCCCCAAAATATAATATCAGACAGCAAGCAAACATAGGACCAGAGGTGCCCAACGACATTGCCTACATTAGAGCTTTGTTTGTAGTGTATTTAACATTAAAAGCTGTTTTCCCAGTTTGGCCAGTCTGTGCTGAGTTTATTCAGCAGTTGTTCTCTGCAGTGTCTGTAATGTAGCTTTTACTGTACGAGGACACTCGATCTCAGTTTCAGTCTGAGTCACTAACAGCAGAATCTTGTTTGATTTTGAGAAGCAACACAATGTCTTTATATTTCAATCCAAGATCAACATAAAATTCAATGAGCTGCTTCATGTCTGAGAAAGGCACAGCTTTTGCAATAATGAAAAACATTTGTGAGGGAACGCAATGTCAAACTTTTAAACCACGGCCCCTTAGGGGCTCCATATTACCTGGCTTTGTTACTGCAGTTTGCTATTCTTTCTGCAACAAATTTCTTAACACTTGTGTGGATGAAATTAGAAAATACAAATACGAATAGCAATATTCATTTAACATTACAAATAAAACTTTTTAGAACTCTTCCAAAAAAAAACAAAAAATAAATAAAAAAAAACAATGACAGCATATACAGTGATTGGACAGAAATTATTATATCTGATAAAACCGTGCAAAAGCCTGTAATACACCATGGTTGTTAAGGTCTGGAGAGTTGGAGAATAACACAGTCAGCATTCCAGTTCAAGTGTCAAATGGGGGTTGAGATCAGGGATCTCTGAAAGCCAGTCAAAATTTTCCACGACCTCTGCAACCTGCATCCACCAAACCCAGATCTGTCAGACAGCCAAATCACAAACACACCTTATCTAAGTTGCTCATCCTTCTGGTTGTGGGGGTTGCTGGAGCATATCCCAGCGGTCATTGGGTGCAAGGCAGGAAACACCCTGGACAGGTCGCCAGGCCGTCACAGGACTGCCAAATCGTGAGACGTGATTCATCACTCCAGAGAACACAACTCCATTCCGGGAAAGTCCAGTGGCGACGTGCTTTCGCCCCTCCGGATGACTCATTTCATTGTGATCTAAGGCTTGTGTGCTGCTTCTCTGCCGGCATGGAAAACCAACCCATGATGTTCTAGCTAACAGTTCTCGCAGCTGCTTCCAGAGGCAGTTTGGAACTCCTCAGTGAGTGTAACTGAAGACTCGTGGTCCCACTACTGTCCGCTTACGTGACCTAATGCATCCTGACTAGGCGGCTGTTGCTCCTAGATGAGCAAACTTGTTAGAAAGGTAGAATTCTGTGACAGTGCCACACAAAGTCACTGACCTCCTCAGTATGACACTCTACTGCCAATGTTTGTCTATTTGCACGGTTGTGCAATTAATTTGTAGGAACCTGTTAGCGATGCATGAGGCTGATATAGCCAACCATGCAGTGAACACAATTGTGTATCAGTAGCAAGTCCATGAAAGCGAACCCCACATTTACAGAACCTTAAGAGTTGGGAAGGAAGGAAAACAAAAATGGACTTGAACTAGACACCTGAGGGACACCACAGAAAGTCTTTTTGAGATCAACAAAGAAGTGTTTTCCAGTTTCAGAAGTGTTAACCCAGAGATTGCTACTGGAGGCTCCCAGAACTTATCATTTAGTTTAGTGATGGACCGATCCACATTTTTTTGTTCTGATGTAATTCCGAGACACAACTGCTGATACAGATACAGACTGTGATACAAGAGCTCTTTTCACTTTAATATTAATATTATTATTGTTGGTATTGTGTTCAATCTTTCAATCACTAAGCATATCTGTAACGGAGGCTGCAACTGAACTGCTGGTGTGAGACCCCCGGCACTTTTTCACCTGACGCACCGCACTATGTAGTTCTTATGTTTCCGAGTTCACCCAGTTTACAATGAGACTTGAGAGACACACTGGGCTCACATCTGAGATCCAAATATCAGCTGTGAAGCCCATGGCTTTAGCATCTAACTGCACCGACAACTGTGATGACACTCGGTTGTACAGTTCAGGTATAGCAGAAATGAAATGTATTTTCTGGGAGGCAGATTATATCTGGGCTCTAAGTTCTCCAACAGGCTGAAATCCCACATTTTCCACTACAGATAGCGGTTGGTCATCGAGTATAATGAAGTTGAGCAACTTCTCTTTACACACAAGTAGCCGTCTTGTTTTTTTGGCGTTTCCAGATTAAAATATCACCAAACAAACAGCATTTTAGTCAAACCAACAGCTAACGTATTTGCTCACTGAGTTACAGACTGTTGCCGTGGGATCACGGTAATCATCTGGATCGGTGACCTGTTAACGTTATGTTATGGTGGGTTCATGGTCCAACGCAAGCTGTGGACTGGACTATGACTCGGTAAGTGGATCGGCACAGTCTGTACAGTACCCGATGAGTGAATTACGTCAATATCGGTCCCGATACCGATATAAGGTCGGATCGGTCCCATCTCTAATTAAGTTCAGGAGTGGATTGAGAGTTTCCAGAAGGACACACTCTCATCATTAACTATGGTAGTTCAACAACGCTTTGAGGAAACACACCCCAAGGGAGCTCCTGCTTTGTTGGAATGAAAACCTGAAACCACACCTGCACTCTGCAGATAAGAGTGGACTGATCTAGTTAGTCCGTAAGTGAGGAGAGGAAAAGATAAAATGAAGGAGGTTCCATTTCAAACAATACTCTGACATTCTGATTCACAAACTTGCCTCATATGCATTCTGAGTGCAAATATCGCAGTAACTTTTCTAGGTGCACAAACAATTCATCATCAATGGTTGCAGGACATCCAAGATGCAAAGAGCTGGGATGACAGAATTTGTTCTTTGTTGTCACTGAAATTAAATCAAGGTGGAAACAAATATAAATTGACAAAAAAAACAAACTCCAGTACAGCACTTCACACAATTAATGTTGAAACAAAGGTTAGTACATGTGGACAACAGTCATGGCCTCCAAACTTGTATGCTACTATCAATAGTGCTATGACCATGTGTAGTTCCATTCAAAGGAAAAAAAAAAATATATATATATATATTAACCACACACAACAAAAGAAAAACACATACATAAGCTTGACAAAAACAACCACAACATCAGCGTGTTTGGTTTGCTTTTTCTTTATTTTTTTTTAGTTTTTTTCATTTTTGGTCTTTTCTTGATTTTTTTATGCTTTTGTATGTTTTTTTTTCTTGTTTACTGAAGAGAGGGAGAGAGTAGGGTGGGTTTTTTTTGGCACTACATGATTATGGGGTGGTATGCTGTTTTTCTTAAAACAAATTCCTATCCAAAGCCTTTGTCCTTATGCAAGCAAAATATGAATACACCAATAAAAATAAAGAGGATCGCTTTAAATCCTTGCTTTACACAACAAATAAAAACACTTTTTTTTTTTGGACCCCTCCAAAAATGGGGGTATTAAAATATTTGACATTTCTTATCACAAATCAATGTGATGAGACAAAAAATATAACGTAAAAACTGTACAAAAAATGATAAAATTCATTTTAAAAAGTCTTGAGACCAAATGATGCAAAGTTAGACTGATTCCTTTTTCTTTTTTCTTTCTTTCTTTCTTTCTTCTTCTTCTTTCAATAAGGACCTTGGGCGTTGGATCAAAAAGAAAGTGTCAGAACTCATTTTTTCTGCTGAACGTAACTAAGATTGACGTGCCGGCCAGGCGGAAGCAGGGGAAAGTGTTGGTTTGCCACTGCACCTGCAAGAAAATACAGAAAATTATACATCGGTCATAAAGTAGCAAGATAAGTAAAAAATTCATTAACATATTTTCCTTGTTTGACCATCCGTGGCCCCTTCTCACACACTGTTGCTAAGACTGTGACTGTAACCCTCTTGTTCAATTACAGTTTCTAAATGAATGGTTTCTCTGATAGATGCATTGACAGGTTATTTCCAGCCACTGGAGTGCCTTGAATTTGTTTATCACTGAAGTACATCGAATCTGACGCGTCATTTACAAGCAACACACACAGCACTGATGCGGCCATATCACTAATATCACGGGACAATACCTTCATTAGACCGCACTGGACAGTGCTCGCAATTGACCTATGGATAAACAAACAATCTGCAAACTAGCAAAAGCATAATAGCTCCAGCTCCACTCAACACGGTGGTATGAGAGCGAGAGGCTACAGTGGTAGAGGAGTTGGAACATGCAGCCACAGTTGCCCTCACTGGACGCTGGTGATGGTCATATTCACCCTACAGTCATGTGATTGTATGTTCATGTATGTATGCTTTAGGGCCGGGGTCTCAAATCACCAAATGCATACAGTCCGTCACAGACTAACAATTTATCATTAAAATCCCCATTATTGATTTCCTGTGGATTACATTGTCGATTAATATTGACATCTGACAGGAAGCTTTGCTTTACCCACCAGTCACTGGGGCTGGTTACCCAACATAAGCTATATAAAATCAGCTTATGACCATTCAAACTAAAACTGAAGCAGCATGAATGCTGCACACTGAATAATCTGGCTACGAACAACTTTGCTATTATTGTAATTTTGACACAGTTAAATCTGCCTTAGTAAGAAATTAAGAAATCAAAGGAGTTATCAAACCAATCCATTGAGACGACGGATTCAACTGGCCTCCAATAACTTCACGTGCGTTCAGTAGGATTTATTAAACACTGTATTTATACTACTATCACTGCTATTATTAATAGTATTATTACTAGTGATAGTAGTTGTCCTTTGTGGCTACAGAGGAATGGCAAACACTGACCAAGATGTGCCTAAATAAAACAATATTTCCTCTGCATTTTTCAATCTGCCCCCTGCTTTAAGTGCTTTAGGGTCAAAGACAAACGTCATCAATCCCAAGTAACTACACAGAATAATGTGATTAATCAGGATTAATTACTTTAATCATTTCACAGCCCCAAATTAATAATACTAATAAACAATAATAGTATTATTCTTTGTAAAGACCCTTGTTTCTCTTAAGCACATGATGCCAGGCGCACAGACATACAACCCCGTCCCTCAGTCGTACCCTGTGAGATGAAGGGCTTGCCGGGCTGCTGAAGGTAGGTCTGGGGCATGCGGTACGGCCAGGAGGGCGAGAGAGAGTACGAACCAGCACCGCTGCTGTGCTCCCACGAGCGAGACGGCTGAGCTACTCCGCCAAACGCAGCCTGGAAACCTGCTTCTGAGAGACGCGCAGACAGACAGAAAAACATAAGAATTTAATAACTTCAGTACAGTGTCTTTAAAAAAATTAATAAACCTACAAGAATCATCACCCACGCCTCTCCAGTGAGACAAACACAGCATGAATCTGTCTTTAAATACTGAATTTGCATGTTTCATGTTTAATTGCGAACATCAGACATTAAACACAAATAAATAAGCTGTTGTGATTTGATTGTGCATGAATGTGTTTCCAGATCTGTCCTGGAGGAAGTTCAGTATTAATAAATACCATCTAATGCCTAGTTTATCTAATCAGTCCTTCATTAAATGTAATCAGGTGATGGAATAAAATCCATGTGATACACTGTACTGCCAAAAGTATTTGCTCGCCTGCCTTCACACGCATATGAACTTGAGTGACATCCCATTCTTCATCCATAGGGTCTAATATGATGTCGGCCCACCCTTTGCAGCTATAACAGCTTCAGCTCTTCTGGGAAGGCTTTCCACAAGGTTTGGGAATGTGTTCATGGGAATTTTTGACCATTCTTCCAGAAGCGCATTTGTGAGGTCAGACACTGATGTTGGACGAGAAGGCCTGGCTCGCAGTCTCCGCTCTAATTCATCCCAAAGGTGTTCTGTCAGGTTGAGGTCAGGACTCTGTGCAGGCCAGTCAAGTTCTTCCACACCGAACTCGCTCATCCATGTCTTTATGGAGCTGCTTTGTGCACTGGTGTGCAGTCATGTTGGAACAGGAAGAGGCCAAACTCCCCAAAATGTTCCCACAAAGTTGGGAGCATGAAATTGTCCAAAATCTCTTGGTGCTGAAGCATTAAGAGTTCCTTTCACCGGAACTAAGGGGCCGAGCCCAACTCCTGAAAAACACCCCCCCAAAAGTGAAAACTTTTGGCAATATAGTGTAGCTGGAGAGCAGCGAGAAGTCAGGAACCAAACCTGTGTTTTTCTAACCAACAACTTTACTGAAAACACATTTTTTGTTACTTTTGATTGTGTTTATGCTTATTTGTATTTATTTTAATGACAAAGTGTTATGAAGTTATACTTTGTCAAGACAGATATAAAAACCATTTTTTTTTGTTTTGCTAACAACCAATCTATGAGTAAAAGTTATTTTAGAACAATATAAAAGTTAAAAGATGACAAACGCCAGAGAGACGGCGAGAAAAGAGAAAAGAGTTGGCTGACCAACACACCAGTTCACCACAACAGAGCTGGGTAATGTTTTAGTGATGAGAAAGGGTGTCCAGTGTAAACCCCCCCATGCAGAACAAGCTTAGTGTAACAGATGTTTTGACCCTCCACAACCTTTTTCTGTGACACTCACCTGAATATACAGTACACCTACACTCTCAACACACACACACACACACACACACACACACACACACACACACACACACACACACACACGCAATGGAGAGACTAGACTTTGATGAGTTTTACTCTCAAAAATTTCTGATTGTTTATCAGCGTAAGATAAAATGTTAGCCAAACTCAGATGCACCCAATAAAATGTTAAACCTCCTGATTTTGTTTTTGGTTAAATACTATTGGTAAAAAAAATAAACTGAAATAGTTAAAAAGGCCATCACTCTCTCTCACAGTGCTCCCCCATATTTGTGTATGTGTTTGTGTACCTGCTTTCCCCACCGTGCCGTTAGCCACCAGAGCCCCCGGGTTGAGGTGATGATTGTGCCAGTGGTGCCCCCCGTCCCGGGCTGGCCCCCCGACGCTGCCCCCCCGCCCCGCTGGCTGGGCGAAGATGATGCTGGGGTCATTTAAGTTAACAGTGGCGGTGCCAACGGCCTGCTGCCCTGCCCCTCCGTTCCCTTTGCCCTTGCGCATGGGGACCCCTGGGGAGGCACCATGCAGGGGCCAGGAACCGGGGGCCAGCGGGGTGGGGCCGGGCTGAGCATGGGGCTGCAGCAAACCCAGGGCAGGGTGGTACTGGCCTGGGTGTGAGGTGGGGAAACCAAAGACTGAGAGCTGCACCTGCTGCTGAGGAGGAGGGAGGGGCTGCGGGGGTTTGGACGGAGTAGCGGAGGAAGAGGAGCCGGAGGAAGAAGGCTTGGCGCTCTGAGACGACTGAGGAGACACAGAGGACTGAGTGAACGAAGACGGCTGGGGGGAGTACGGAGGGGTCTGACGAGTATCAGACTGGAAGGAGAGAGAAAAAGAATGTAAGAAACAAAAACAGAAAACATTTCTAGCACTGAGAATTTTCTAATTGGTTTTAGAACAAATGATTGCAGAAGTGCTTATGTATGTGAAATAGAACATCACAATTTTTTTTTTCAAATATATCACTGATAAAAATACAGCCTTTCATATTGGTTGAGCCTTAATTCCTACTTTCTGGAGAACCTGTACTTGGTACTACCACAATTTCCATAGGTGCTAATCTCTAAAACTGATCACAGATCTGCACATCTACTCTAACATTTCATGAACATGGGGAAGTTTCGGTTCTTACACATTCGGAGGGCTGCCTGGTCCTGCCGGGCCGGTCCTGGGACACCCCACTCTGAGGAATAGGGATGGCCTGAGAGCTCACCATGGTGCGAACCATCTGAGGAACTGGAACAAGAGAGATCTGTGGTCATTCAAAGTTCACCTGGTTGACTCACGAATGCCCCCTTTCAGCATTCAGCATTCATTACTGTTCTGAGTACATCTCAAGCTATACTGTACATGACAAGCGTCATTTACTCTGAAGTCCACTCTGAAGTCCCAATGAGTCTCTGACTCATCTGGAATTTTTATTTCAAATTAAATTTCCCGTTTTAGCTTTTTATTTCATTTTTAGTTCGTCCATGGCAAACAGAAAATTTCTACCTGAAAAAAAATAAAAAAACACCTTGAATCTGGCCTGAAACTTGATACTTTGTCTGACCCTCATCATACTCCGGTCAGGTAGCAGAGCTCTTGCTCTACATTAATCCCTCAACGTGAGCATGTGTGTATGTACCTGGTGCAGGCGCTCCTCTCTGGCGGAGGTGTCTGTAGTCGGGACAGTCTCTGCGGACGTGACCCATATCTCCACACTGGAAACAGCGCCTCTCTCTGGGCTCTCTGTCCTCCTCCCGAACATCTTCATCCTTATCGTTCTCTTTCTTCTTCATCCTGCACGCACACAAGAGCTTAGCCGTTACTACTTGGACAGGTGATACAATTACAGCTCATCAAAGGATGGAAAGTTCCCACAAACTCACACTGAAGAGAAAGCAGGAAGAAATCCAATGATAAATCAAAGCAGGAAGACAAGCAGACAAAGTGTAATTTAGAGTTTTCTTATCAATATTACAACTGCAATTTTGATGCCATTATCTTCTACAAATTCTGCTCTGGGCTTTCTCCCCCCCTCAGAAAACCAGCACATTCTCTTCTTCAGGGGCTTCAGGCTGGACCACAAATGTTGTGTGCCAGGCTGTCAGATCATGAGGTTAAATTGTTTTTAAACAACTTAAAAATAGTTAAGACAACATTGACTAATGTAGCGAACTCTATAACTCAAACCGCTCTTGCGATATGAAATGGCCTCTTTCTGCAGGCCCCTTAGAGGTCATTCCGCTCATTAAATCGGAACATTTTCAATTTATATAATCCAAACTTTTTGTTCTAACTCTTATCAGACTAATTAGGACACGTTTGTTTCTCTCTGTGTGAAATTTGACACTGCGTTGAGCTGCTACTGAGCAATGAGTGCTGAGTAAAGGCGGGGGGGTGAGTCACCCCCCAGCTGAGTAAACTATTCACACCTCTCCACAAAGACAGCTGAGCTGAGACACAACCAACAACTGCAGCTTCCTTTATATCAAACAATCCTGTACAACTGCTATATATATGCTATTTATAAATGCAATATAAAATGGCATTTAAACATAATCACACTTGTATAAATGTTGACTTGCCTGCTCACCTATGAAGATGGAAATCCACTTTGCCTCAGGTTTTGTAAACCATCGAAATAACAGTATTATTGAAGATATAATGCATAGCTCAACTGTGAGAGCTCCAAAAACGGCGGAACTCACAGTTCATACCTAATATGAAAAGGGCCGAATTATGATTTTGATATAAAAGCGATTAAACGTTTAGTCCTACACACAAGGTGAGGTTTATAGACTTGTAGGGAAGTGTGTGTTATAGTGCATCACCTGCGCCTCTTTGGGCAGTCCTTCATGTAGTGACCGATCTTTCCACAGATCCGACAGCAGCGGTCATTCGGAGCCAACTCACCGTCCGTCAGAACCTTGGAGTCAAAGAAGTACTCCTGAGAGAGAGAGAGAGAGAGAGAGAGAGAGAGAGAGAGAGAGAGAGAGAGAGAGAGAGAGAGAGAGAAGTTGTGTATGTGGCTGGTAATTGGTCACAAAATCAGATCCATTTATTTTAAGTCTGCACTTGATTGATAGAACGTTCGCACTGAAGCTCAACAAACTACAATACAGCTACATTTTGCTAAGATTATATTACCACATTTTTATCAAGCTCACATGAGACACACATGTAGCGTAAAACAATGGCTCCCACTTGCAACTGACAACTGATAAACCATCAAAATTCCACATAGTTTGATTTTTTCTTTTCGTTTTTAGACATGCTAGAACACAATGACCCAATAAAGACTACATTCAGCGTTTACATCGTTATATAAGTAATATCTATCATAATATTTATCAATTCTTTTCAGACAACAAAACGCACATTTTCACTAACTTATTCAAAACATTTTATCAAAGTCAGTCACAGGGCTGCCCATGGACTAGCGTAGCTGGGGAAAATTTGGGACTAAACAGGATAATGTATAAGAGAGGTGAGTTTGGGGGAAATATTTGCGATGGCGTGACTCACTGCTTCCATCCCTGGCTGAGGGTAGAACGGCGTGCCAAACAGCTTCCTCCCATTAATGAACGCCTTCATGATGAAATTAGTCACTGAAAGAGAGAGAGTTACGGCAAATTACACCATGTGAAGATTACGCTGGTATTTCTGAACTAATTACATATCATTTTCACTGCAACACCAACAGCTGCTGGTCACCCCAAACACTTACGTTCAAACATTAAGTTAATCAACAGAAAACGCTTCTTTTAAGCCTGGTTTATGACTTAATTACAATATTTAGGACAGCAGTTGATCTGCCTTTTATACAACAGCTTCTAACACAGCATTAAAACTCTACTTCTAAAGCAATGTGCATAAAACAAAGTACAAAGTAAATCACACAGAAATCACTCTACAATACAAGTTATGAAATACGTGAATTTTGTTTTAATCCTTAATCTTGTTTTTTACTTTATCGTTCACCTACGTGTGTCTCTGTGGTAGCAGGACACTCAAAGAGAACAGAAGAAACTTACTTTTGCGAGAGACTCCAGCACCCAGGTTGTGGTTCAAGTCAAAGGGATCTACAGAAAGAAACATGAACTGAGTTAGCGAAACAGAACCTGGTGTGGGAACAACACAAATCTGACTTCTTGTAACTCTTATCAGATGAACTACAACAATGTTGTCCCTCTGTGTGACCGTTGAGCTGCTAGTGAGCAATGAAGGGTGAGAGGAGAGAAGGGTGAGAAGCCCTCTGCTCTGAAAACAGTTCACACCTCTCCACATAGATGGAGGAAAAACAGACAAACTATTTCTCCAGCATTTTGCCAGGGCTGCATTAAACTGGACCCAGAATGAGAGAATAGACAGTCAAGTTTAATTCTTTTAAGATAAACGTAGCTTTAGCGTCTAGAACTGGTCAGCGAAGTGAACCTCCACCAGCTTCAGCTTTTTGAAGTGGCTACTGAGTTATACCCCAGCCTGAGCATTTAGCACTGATCAGATCATATAGACCTTAACTAGCATTAGCATTTAAAAGTAGTAAGTGAATTGTACCCATAACATTAGCATGTCAGTGGTCAGTGAGGTGCACCCCTAATTTGCCAGAGAGAGGCATCTCCAGCAGTGTTAGTGTTTAGAAGCGGTCACTGAGGTGCACCCATAGACTTGGCTTTCAGAAATGACCAGAGAGTCAAACCCTCACCAGCATTAGTGTCTGGAAGTGGCCAGTGAGGTGCAGCACGAGCTTATATACCGACGGTTAGTGAGGTGTAGTTCTAGATTTGGCATTTAAAACTCAGTAAGATGTACACTGGAGTCCACTAGACTTCGTTTTCAAAAGGGGTCAGTGAGGTGTACCTTCGATGGCGATGCACTTGGAGGTCCACTGCTTCTCGAAGGTGGTGAGGCGCTTGCGCTGACGGATGGAGATGACGTGCTCCTTGAAGTCGAACTCCTCGGTGTAGAAGCGCAGCAGGCCGAGCCACAGCTCCCCCACCGTCTCCCGGTTCTGCTGGAACTCCGGCAAACGTCGCCGCTGAACAACACGCGTGAAAAACAACGATCAGCGGCTCACGGCTTCGGGAGGTTCAGTGCATTCACTGCTGTAACCAGCCAATGTGACCATCGATACCACCCAAACTCACTCACCAGCTCGTCCAGATCATCAAAGAAGAACGCGTTCCAGCCGTCCACCATCCTCTGGGGCATGGAGTTCCCATCATAGATCTGCAGAACAGCCACCACACCAAACATACAGAGAGAGAGAGAGAGAGAGAGAGAGAGAGAGAGAGAGAGAGAGAGAGAGAGAGAGAGATCTATCACTCCACATTATGCATTTCAAGTATTTTTTAAGTGGGAGTTCTTCATCAGTGTTATTTGGTGGTCTCGTGGAGGCAGATGTGATATTGCAATGAACATACTTGAAATCTGTTGCTAACGAGCACGGCCCCTCTAAAACCCCCCCAAATCCACATTGTCCGTGGTCTTTTAACGTCCAGAGCACAGCCAATAACAGCGAGCTTGTTTTCAAATGCCTGCTGCGTACGCAGGTCACAGCACAGAGAAAGACAAGAAAGTAGCTTCAGACAGATTTCTGCAGTCAGCAGCTTTGCTGGAGTAGCTGTGGATGAAGTTCACATTGCTGCTCAGTGGTTTAGATGTACACGTGTTGTTTGTTGTGGATAACGGGTGGCCTCGTTGCTCGCTTTTTAAAGGCTGTGACGGCACATCGTCCAGTTCTAACACAAATCCAGGAGTTCATCTTTTCTCAAACACAGCTGCCAATTTATCCACATCACTTTTACTCCAGCTGTACCATCACAAATGTGAATGACAGAAAACTGGTAATCCACTGTCAACTTTTACTGCTTGCACAGCAAAACGCTCTAAAGCTAATGCGAGGTTTTGTGTAACTAGACTGAAACTTGCCGTTGCAAGAGGTTATGTTTAATTTTACTGAATGTGATGTGCAACACTCATCTACATGCTTAATGGGTTTTTTGGGGGGGACTTTTCAGCCATGCTAACCTATGTTACAATCCTTGGCTAACAACAGACCCCTACTTTCAGATCCACTTTCACGAGGCATTGGATTGGTTTAAAATTTTACTCTCGGTTTGTTCTGCTACCAGTAAGTCTACGCCCCCCCACACACATTTAGCACCCCATATCTCATGGTTGTCCCCAGATGTTCTGGGTTCTCATCTGGCATCACTGCAGCAGCACGTTTAAGTTGGCCGTACACTACACGGCTTTTAAAATCTTAACAGATTTCGAAAACGGAGAACATTAGACATCAGAATTTCTTGTTATTTTGTTGTGAGGTCGTGCAGAAGAGATAAGGCAAAAGTGTCCAAAACGCACTCAAAATCTCAGAGCCCATCACCCGTCTCGTCACATCTCTTCTCCTCTCATCGGCTGCTGCTTGAATCACTTGTAGAGTTACATGGCTGAACGTCTCACACTACAAGTCTCAAACGCTTGGAGATGTAAAAATCAAATGCTTAAAAAATATCGGAGGGCCTCTGATCACTTCAGAGCTTGCTCAAACGGCTAAAGACTGACTTGTTGCAGCCATCAGTCACTTTCAGTCAAGCTTTTGACCTGGAAAATTGCTTCAGATGGTGTAAATTTGACAGAAGGGAAAGATCAGGGTTATAAACAAGCTAAAGAACGCTCTGGCGTTGGTGGGCGTTCCAAGTTTTCTTCTGTGTGCAGTCAGACAGGGATGTGGAACCAACTTTGGGTACTTCCATCACCACAGAACCACAACTTTACTTTTTTATTTAGCTATTAAAACAAATATGACCTCTCTCGTTCATACACTGTTAGACAGAGGAAACATGACTGTGTAAAGGTATGTATACGTACCTCCTGTAGGACGGGGATAACGGGGGGCTCTCTCTGCTGCAGGAAATACAGCACCATGAGGATGTAGGCGTAGGATGACAGACTTCCCCTCGACGCATCTCCAATGTCACAGCGCTGCACAACACACACACACACAGTTACTACAATCCGGTTAAAATAAGACACTTATTTATGTTCCTTATATAACTATGTGGGCAGACGTTCTGTGAGGGGGTTGTTCCTGCTACCTTTGCGAAGACTTTCATGGTGTAACCCAGATACTGCACCCGCGGGTCCAGCGCTGCGTAGGTGGCCAGCATGCGCGTGTTGTGCTGCGCCTGAGAACAGAACAAAGAGAGAGTTACAGGAGTGCAGTCTGGGGGTGATTTCAGACGTTTGAACAGTCGTGTACTAACACACAGATATAAGGCAGACAGAGAGACAGAAAGAGTGAAGATACTGATGAGAGGCTGACCAGCGTGTTGTAGAGGCTGATGTCCCCCTCCAGGCCGCTCTGCTTGTGTTCAAACTTCACGATAGGCACTTTAGCGGTCGTTATAGGCAAGATGTTCCTCAGACCTGAGCACACCCAAACACAGCAGTCAGAGATGGTCAGTTACACATGTAGGGCTTGGACCATTTACTAATTTGTTGAAGATTAACAGCATTTATGGCTTTTGTATCCAACCCGTTGTCTGAAACTCTTCTTTTGTCTGTTTTTAGGATCCCCATTAGCTGCTACACTTCCTGGGGTCCAGCAGACACATTATATATTATAAAATAGTGCAATAACAATCAATGAAACAAGTCATACAAAACACAAGTAAAAAACAAAAGAAAAACAAAAAGAAACAGAGAAAAAAAAACACATGAAAAGCAGAAAATAACACAGTAGGACAGTTTAAAACCTTCAACAACAGTAGAAAGACGACTGAAAATGGGGGCAAAAAAAACACGCTGAAAGAAAAAAAATCGTGGTATATCTCACAAAGACCTTAGCCGACTCTATTCTGGTAATCATCTACACTAATTTTGTGTTGTATATCTTGTATTAATTTCTGTACTTTTTACATGCTGATCATAAAGATCTGCTGGATATTTTTGTTCATAAGTATTTTTAATGAGTCGAGCGAGGATCATCTTCCGCCTGTCTTCTACCCATAACCATTCAAGTTTCTGATGCATTTTATTTATGCTGGTTCTATACAGACATTGTAACATAACTCTTTCTGCCTTATTTGCAGTTTCATCAAATGTTTCTTTGCTGCATTTGACCACATTGTAGCGCAGTAGTCTAAATTACATAGTACTAATGACTGATAGTAGTTTTAGTGACCTCTGTGTTAAAAGAGAGAGAGAGAGAGAGAGAGAGAGACTGGATTTCAAACACAGTAAAAGCTATAATTATAATATAAGGTTCAGTCATTGCAAGGTTTTGTTATACAGAGTTGATATTTAGGGATTTAACGCACTGAAACCTTCAAAACAAATCCAAACCAAAGTGCCTTTTTACTATCAGTGAAGATGCTACTTTTAACAAGCGTGACTCAGTGACACCAGGCAGCCAAAAAGAAAAAAGTTTCTAAAGTTTCACAAACAGCCTGAAGACGGTTTACATTGTCAGAACTTGGTGTACATTTATTCGACTGTAAAACTCAACAGCTACTTGTCAGAAAAGCTCAGTGAGCTAAGATGACTGAGCATTTTAGCTGAATTGGTATTAAGAGAAATAAGCAGGTATTACACTGTACTGGTGGGTTGGAAATGCTGAATGAGTGCAGACAGTTACCTGTGTGTTTCTTTAGGACTTTGGCTAAACCCTCAATGATCTCCTTGCAGTTCAGTTTCTGAGAAGAGAAAAGAGAAATATTTAAGAGAGAGAGACATACACACACACACAGAGAGAGAGAGAGAGAGAGAGAGAGAGAGAGAGAGAGAGAGAGAGAGAGAGAGACAGGGAGGGAGAGAGAGACAGAGAGAGAGAGAGAGAGAGAGAGAGAGAGAGAGGGAGAGAGAGGGAGAGAGAGGGAGAGAGAGAGGGAGAGAGAGAGGGAGAGAGAGAGGGAGAGAGAGATGAGAATGAATAAAGAGAAGCAGATTAAAGTGACTGAAGCGTTCGTGTTGAGCGTTAAACGAGAGTCAGTGTGTAATTCTACCTCTGCCGTGTCGTGACCCTCCAACGTCATACAGATGTCCAGGTCGCTGTCACGGAAACCAAAGCCGTTCTTGGAGGAGCCAAACAGACACAACTGGGCCTTATCTGTGCACACAAACACACAAACATACAGATGGATACGTTCACATAAACACAGCCCTAGTTTACACTTTCTGGATCACAAGGCTCAGTTATCACATCAGTTAGGGGTGGGCAACACAGCAGGACCCCTATAATTAAATAGGCCAGGCTGCTGTTTTTGTGTAGTAAAAATAAAATTCTCAACATGTTTTTAAAAGTCAAGATGCACTAAATTCAAATGTAAAAACACGTATTTAAACCGCACTGAACATTTCGCTATTTTAAAACATACAAATCTAAACCATTTCACCTTTAAAATAATATGAATAAATAAGTTGTGGTTTTGGTGAATATGTTGTTAATCACCTGAACAGGAAGCGATTAGACATTCAAACATGGTGTTACATTTGTGTCATTTTATTAAGGAAGCCAACTTCCCCAGAGAAAACCCATCAAAGATTTCTCCTAACCTCTTATCAAACGCAGATCTATTTGATGTAAAACTAGCCTTGCCACTTCCTGTTTCTTTCATCATATCAAAAAACCTGACTGCAAAAATGCCAGAACTGGGGGTGAATTGAGCTAAAATATTTGTCATTTTTGCAGGACCTTCCTTTAACTGTGGAAAGCAGACGGATGTATTTCACTGAAATTAATTACTGCTACTGAGTGCTGACCGTATTAGTGTTACTGCTACTGAGCGCTGACCGTATTAGTGTTACTGCTACTGAGCGCTGACTGTATTAGTGTTACTACTACTGAGCGCTGACCGTATTAGTGTTACTGCTACTGAGGGCTGTTTGGTGATCAGCTCCTTTGCTGAGTGAACCGGTTTGCTCTCACTGATGTCATGAGGCCTGTTATAAACTCCTGTAACTGGAGTTCAAAAGCACCAAATAACATAACAGCAGTGGTGAAATGTTTTATGCTGTTAGGTGTTCATAATTTTACTGCGTTTTTCTATATAAAATTGATAGAGCATTTACAAACCATGATTTTCTGGCAAAACTAAATAGAAAAATCATTCATTTTGGATTCGCTCAGGAGCGCCCTCTAGTGTTTGACAAACCTGGAAGATTATTAAGTAGCAGTTCTCTCTATATATTCTCTGATAAATGGTATTCGTTTTCATTTGTATATATTCTAACAACAGCGTTTTCTCCTGAACAAACAAACACCGACTGCCCAGATAAACAGCTTTTTAATTCTAATTTCCTCACGTGTTTAAAGTACTGCACAGCACTGCAAACTTTCTTACATAGTACTTTTTTGGCCGGCTATAAAATGGAGAGCATATCAATTTCTCATATAAATTAATAAATAAATAAACAAATCCGGAGCTTCTTCAAAACAAAACGTGCAGAGTCAATACGATTTAGTGCACACCACAAAGCCAGTAGCTTCGAAGGGTCTAACAAACACATCTAAAGGAAACACTGCAATAAGATATTTATCGTGAAAGATTATGTCCAAATGTGCTTTTGTGAGCACATCGTGGACATCAGTGCTTAAAGAACACTGACCAACTGCAGGTTTCATTCACAGTCAGCCCTGTTTGCTTGATTTAGTATAGTGTAGTAACAGAAATACTGAATGTAATAAAGATAAAAAACAAAAATAAACTTTTTTTTTAAATATGTATTGTATGTGGCACTACTCATCCTTTTTTTATCCTGTTCCAACTCATTTAGTTTTTCTGAGGTTTGTTAGCATGATACATGTTTTGTTGTAATTTTGCCCACCCCGCAGCATCAGCTCTGATGTAAAACGATGGTGTTTAACTTGTCAGGATGCTCGGCTGGTCACTGACTTCACCTGATCAAACACACCGGCTGCTTTCTGAGCCAACTAAAACAAAGACGAAGCTCCACCTCCACAGTGATTGGTGAAATGAGTCAGTCTGAGAGGACGAGTAGCAGGAACATTAACAACAGTGCGTTTGTACCGTTATACTCCTTCCTGATGAAGCGCTCCAGGCTGGCCAGGATCTGCTCCCTCTTCTGCTGCTCTCCAATAGTCGGCGACAGCTCATCTACACACAAACACAAAGAATACCTCCAATTAATGGAAACCAGGGACCAAATTACAGAAACTTCTTATCTTTTTGTCTTAAGTTAAGATCTGACAGGTCAAGATGAAATTTTTCCCAAAATTCACAATACAGAAGAAAATCTTCTCAACTCAGGGATCTTATCTTGCAGCATCTTATCCTATCCTGCTCGATCGAAGTCGACAATCAACTGTCATGTCTGTTACCTAGCAACCGTCCATACGCTCACAGCAGAAACGTAAACACGTAATCAAAATAATCAAACTAGTCAGCCAGACAGCTAGCTACTGTTACCCGTGTAAAAAAGGCCAAGCAAATCTAAAGCACAATAAACTTGAAGTTAAGACTACTGTGTGAGCGCCCCCTGCTGTTTATCAGAGGTGAAATCTAGACCATTTCACCTTTAAAATAATATGAATAAATAAGTTGTGGTTTTGGTGAATTCCTTTAACTTCCTCCCCAGTTTCAGTCACCATTTCCCAAACGCTTTAGCCGAGCGCGCTAACGTTACTCCTCCTAATAAACAGACACACGTTCAGCTCCGTCTCCTCATTATTCACCACCATCACTGTAACATTTCATCATCAACATTAACACACGAAGGTGATCAGAGGGGACGGTGGAGATCGAGTCTGCAGCGTCTGGCGTTTTTAAAACGCTGCTAGAAAAAACATTCAGAAGTCAAAGCACCGTTTTCAGTGTAGATAAATGTAGCGTCATTATTCCAGTCATAGTGAACTGTGCTGCCTGACACTGCACAAAACAATAGAAACAGACGGTTAAAACCGAAGTTAAGATGGATCTGGGGTTCATCCTAAAGTTAGGACTGTATTTAGGAGGTTTAGTCTAGTTAGGATGTTTGTGTGATTCTGTTTTCTTATATGGAGTTAATGATAAGATTACGAACTTAAGAACTGTTGTTCTGTAATAGCGTCTGTCTTAAAGTCAGTCCTAACTAAAGCTGTCCTGGTGATTAAACATATAAGATTTCAGACTTAAGAAGTTTCTGTAATATGACCCCTGATCCACAACAACATTTAGCTCAGTGATGGAGCGATGTGAAGCATGGAGGACGGGTTCCCCCAGTTTTTCAAATACTATCCTCCTCCATGACTTCTCAAACACCCACTTCTAAACTTGACTTCAATAAAAGGAAAGTTTAATGTTCACCTGAAGTTCAGCTCAACAAACAATTTAATGATACGATGCCAGTCATGTTACTAAGGCCCTGCTAAGACAAGGCAGAACATACCTGCTGGGTGATCTGATCCTAAGAGAACAGGACTAAGTACTGGAGCTCGGCTGATCATTTTAAATACTGATGTGACGGCAAAAAAACCTCAAACGATTCATATGTTAATTTGAATCTAATCTCTAGTGCTTTACACGGTGATACTCTCACCAATACCAAGGGATGTCAACAACAACTGACCGCCGTATGCAAAAGTTTGGGGGCCCCTAGTCAAACGGAGAACAAAATTCTGCACGTTTTAATGCACAATCACTGTTTATTTGCTGAATTTAACATATTGGGGGGGAAACATTAAATAAAGTATGTTGTGCAAGTAAATCTTCTGTGCAAAAGGTAAAGTATATTTTACATTGTGTTGAAATTTTGTTCCCCAATATGTAAAAAAATAGAAATTGTGCACTAACATTTGCAGAAAAATGCCATATTTAAGTCATTTGTCATTTGACCCGTGCGCATGTGATCAGATCAATCAAGAGCGATGTCCATATAAAGTGTGAATAAGGCCTCAGGAACACTCTTACAGGGGTCTTCAATGTTAAGCAGTGCCAATAACTCATCTCAGCAAAGACTAGAAAATAAAATCTCACTACTTTCCCAAAAGTTTAGCATCATTCAGGACGTCTTTGGGTCTTTCATGGATGTGAGAGATGCTTACAGTAGCAGAGTCTGCACAGGTTGTCCAGTATTTCTCTGAAGCGCTCCGTCATGGGTGGCAGAGGAGCCAGCTCCATCTTCTTAAAGTCCTCAGGGCAGTCGTCCTTCAGGTGGCCGTCCCGCTTACAGATGCTGCACACCACCGTGGGGGGCTGATCACACACAACATCAACAAATATGCACAGATTTAACACCTCAACTCCATAAAGAAGTTTCACAGACGCTTCAAGATTATTACATCATCATGACTCTGTGGTTCTTCTATGATGTCAGACAATCTGCGTGAGCAGGAAACTCAAAGGAGGTCCTGGAGGGTTTGGTGACATCCTGACTGACTAAACTTACACTTAATAAAGCCTCAGAAGATAATTAACCCTACTTCCGAAGCTACTACGGTCATTTTGCAGTTCTATTCAGAATTTAATGAAATAACTGATTACAGTTATATAGTCACATATACTTGTGGACTTGTCTTTCCTGATTGTTTCAATGTCAATCAATAACAAATATGGTAAAAATGTAAAAAAGACAGGATCTTTCTGCAGAACGACGATTACCTGTGGGGTGTGCCACATGATTCATAGATTGAGAAAAGGTGGCACAGCGCAGTGAATGTCTCGTTTGATGTGTGGAAAATGGGTCACAAGGCAGATGTTACTGATTGGCAAAAAGGAGTGATTACATTTGGACGTGCCAAAGGCCACGGTGTGAAGGAAGTAGCTGAGTCTGTAGGTGTATCAAAGCGTACGGTCATACGGGTCGACCAGCAGTAGCGAAAAATCCCCGTCTACAGGAAATTCTCATCAGAATTGTCGTTGAAAGACTAAACTTATGGACAGCGTGTTTCACGGCTTGTGAATAAAAATCGCTTCAAAAAGTCAACGCAGGTTCTTCACAACCAATTTCTGAAAGAACTCTCTGCAGGGAACCGCATACCATGAACATATGGAGCAGAGCAGCATGTGAGAGGCCTTTGCTCACTTCTGCGCACAAAGCTGCCTGGTTACAGTGGACGAAGAGACACAAAAACTGGACTGTTCATGACTGGAAAGGTGTCATTTGGTCAGATGAATCTAATTTCTGCCTGTATGTGAATGTTCCTATCAGAAACTTATCCAGTCCAGGCCAAATCAAATCGCAGCTATTATTTGTTATTAATTGTTATTTATGCTCTTGGAGGTATTACATGCTTTTAGTTATGTTTCAGTCACAGGTGACTAGGTCATGTAAAGTTAAATTAAGACTAGTGGACCTTAGGAAAAACTGAAATACAAGAAAACCGTATGATACGGGCTGTTTAATCAGTAAAAAGTAAGCAAGCCAAAAAGAAACCAATGAAATAGGTGACAGCTGAAAATGTTACCTTTCCTCCAGTGAAAATCATCCTATCAAACACGTAGTGCAGGTCCTCTGGGGCGATGCGTTCGTTTTCTGGAGCCTTCTGCCCCTCTTCCTCCTGCTCCTCATCCTCGCTGTCCAGGAGCAGGCCGTTCTGAGGTGAGGGTGAAGGAGAGGAGGGCTGCTGAGACGCGTCTCCGTCCTGCGCCCCATCTGTAACGAGCAGCCTGGCTACCCCGCTGCTCACACACTGCTCTTCATCACCGGCTTCATCCTCCTCCTCTTCCTCTTCTTCATCCTCGTTATCCTCCTCCTCGTTCTCCTCGTCCTCCTCCGCGCTGCTCCCTCCGTCCCGCTCCTCTCCTCTCTTTTTCTGGCCTCGGTGGGCTTTGGCCGGCCGGCTGCGGACGCGGTTGGCGCGGCCGGGTCTGGAGGCTTTGGCCCGGTGCTTGGCTCTCTTCGCCCGGAGGCCGTTGCGGCTCTGAGGGCAGGCGAAGTACCTGTAGGCCATGCGGAAGCACTCTTGAATGTACTCGAACACCATCTGACTGTTCAGGCTGCGCGCCACGTTCCTCTTCAGAGCAAAGGGGTCTGAGAAAGAGCAAAGGAGAGAATGTCGGCCTCAAAACACGCACCTGTGGGAGATCTTCACATACAATATTGGGGGAAAGCTTTTCCTTCAGATTTTTGTGCTCTGCAGTGAGAACTCATGGTCAGGTTTGGGTTCAAGACGAAGATTACATGATTACATAATGCGGAAGTGTGATGAAAAATCTAAATTATACAGTTTTCCCCAAGTCAGTGCAGCTATGAGGGAAGAATAAAATCCACCAATTAGCATAGTGCAAACTGCACACTTTAAATCTTCAACCATTTGCCTCAAACTACACTGAGTTGTATGTAGAGAGCATAATTAGTCCTGTTTAACCTGATTTATTGCAGCACTGTATGTAAATGACTGTATTCATAGTCTTTCAGATAAAATCACTGCTGTCGGAAACAAAACCTCGTAACTCGTTTTTCAGCTTTTGTCGTAATTTGAAAATACTTGTTGCCGTTTGCATTGTGTGTAAATTTCATGATAAATGGACCAGAAGAAACATCCCAAAATTCCTTGGAAAACGTTCTGGTTCCACTGACTTGCATTAAAAGTAAAGTATGTTTTTTACCTTCTCCTGCAAAGTTACCGTTTTGGAGATACAAGGTTTTGTTCTGACAACAGTGATACCTTTTGCCACTTGAGTCCCACACAATCTGCTACAAAAGCTTTCATGGGCCACAACATTTATCACCCATATCAAAAAAGCACTATATAAATGTATATGAACTGAACTGAATGTGGCTTATTGACTGTAAAATCCCACAACATTTTATTTTTACGTTTTATTTTACTTTTGATTATAAGTAATTACCACAATAATCATAATAAACGTTCCACAGTTAAAAAATGACAGTGCTGCAGCCCACAGGTTTAAAACTATTGGTTCATTCTTGACCGTTCCAAGAACAACTGACCAAACCACAGAAAAATGAAATACTGATATATAATAATACG